TCTATCTATCTATCTATCTATCTATCTATCTATCTATCTATCTATCTAAAATTTTTTAATGTAATACTGAAAGATGAGTAGAGATTCCTTAGAACTGATTTTAAAATTGACTTACTTGTGTGCCTTGTTCTTTTAGATGGAAAATCTCAAATGGGAATTGGATCAGAAGGAACGTGAAATTCAGTCCCTGAAGCAGCAGCTTGACTTGACAGAGCAACAGGGCAAGAAAGAACTAGAGGGTACACAACAAACACTGCAGGTTGGTTCTGTCCCTCTCCCAGATCCCTGGATCTGGATAGAAGGGTACAGTCCCTACCAGGCCGAGTGAGTGTTACACATATAACAACAGTTCCCATTGAGTTGGGTCATCCTCTGGGTTCCCAACCCCACCCCTGTGATCTGAAGACATTGCCCCCAATTTAGAATAATACTTAGAATGGTTACCTGGTTTAGGTTACACTGCTCAATGGAGGAGAAACTGAGAAAAACCCAAGCACTATCCCTTTGTTAAGCTGTGTGAATTGTATCTACCAGGAACATCTGTTTTTAGGTCTAGTGAGTAGGGTCCATATGCAGTGTATGCTTAGTTTATGATCTACTTCTCCATGAAGACTCAAATGAGTAGTCTTTACTACTTAGGGAAAGGACCAGAAACATAACTTGGTAATATTCCTCACTTATTTTAAAAAGAAAAGGAAAGAAAAAAAAAAAAAAAAAAGTCAAGTCATTAGATTGGTTTATACTATTTCTTAGGATAGCAGACTTTGGAATTTAAAGATTCTTGGAGTTTACTGTAGCCATGCAGACATTGCTGTTTGGAAAAGTCTCTATGCTAAGTGTCGGGTGCTAGAGTGATGCTCAACAGTTAAGAGCACTTACTGCTCTTGCAAAGGACCTGTGTTTGGTTCCCAGCACTCATACAGAAGCTCACAACTTTCTACAATTGCAGCTCTAGGAGAGCCCCACCCTCTTATGGCTCTGGGGGCTCTTGTATGTTTGTGTTATACATAAACACAAATAAACACACACACATAAATCAGTGAATCTTAAAATAATACTAAGGGTTGGACCTGCAGAGATGATGGTTCAGCAATTCAAATCTCATGCTATTATTCCAGAGGACTCAAGTTCAGTTTCCAGCACCACATTGGGCACCTCACAACTAAAAGTAACTCCAGCTTTAGAAAACTCAGCTCTCTCCTCTGGCCTCCACAGGCACCTGCACTTATATGCGGCACATACCCACACACAAACACAGATATAGGTAATTAAATATAGGATAATTTACTTCTGGGTTTGAGTTCAGTGAATTTTTCAATGCCTAGGTAAGTATAGAGGAAACTGCTGAGATGAAAACAACTTATCCTAGCAAAAAATATGTTCCCCAAACTGACATACAAATTAACATCTCAAAGTGTTTTTTAAGGGGCTGGAGAGGTGGCTCAGAGGTTAAGAACACTGGCCAGAGGACCTGAGTTCAATTCCCAGCAACCACGTGGTGGCTCCCAATGATCTGTAATGAGATCTGATGCCCTCTTCTGGCTTGTGGGCAGAACATTGTATACATAATAAGTACATCTTTAAAGTGTGTTTTAAGATGTTTGGTTTTTTAGATAGGTTTTTATGTAGCTCTTATGACCTCAGACTTGCTATGTAGCTAAAACTGGCCTTGAACTCTTAACCCTTCTGCCTTCTGAGCCTCATCAGGATTATAGGTATGTTCTGCTCACTACACCAGGTATTTAGGATCTTTTAGCTTAAAAAAAATTCTAATCATTTCCTTAGACTATCAAGTCTGAGTTGGAAATGGTACAGGAAGATCTGTCTGAGACCCAGAAGGATAAGTTTATGCTTCAAGCGAAAGTGTCTGAATTGAAGAACAGCATGAAGACTCTGCTGCAGCAGAACCAACAGCTCAAGCTGGATCTCCGCCGTGGTGCAGCCAAGGTGGGATTTAGGTTGCATTTTTACAAGTTAACTGTCTATCTCATTTAGATTTGTTTGGGCAGGATATTGTCAGGTTTTCTAGTCATTCACAGATCAGCAAATATATTTAACTAACATTGAAACTCTCCTGTACACAAAGACCATAGAGAAGTCTGCTTGGACAGTGAGTCAAAACACTTTTTTTGGTACCTTTTCCAAGAGAACATTTCTCCTCTTGAACACATATCATCTTGCTGTGCTGTCATTGTGGGACACAGTGGCTTCAGGATGGGCTCAGGTGGGAGTCTCATGCTAATATCTTCCCTGATTGAGGATTCAAATACTTGGCAGTTTTTTAGGAAAGCTCAAAGTATAGGTTTGTGTCATAGGAAACTCCCACAAGAGAGCTCTAATGCAGTGGTTAGTTATTTCTCCTGTAGGCACAAGTTAAGCAACTAGGTGCATTAGGATTACTGGACTGGCTGGTATTTCTTAACCTACTTACTGTCAGACTGTCTTCATAAACCTGGCAATTCAGTCTTCTCAGAGGGGGGATATAGGGGAGGTCAATTGTCTCGGTGGAGAATGAGGAGGGCTGTAGAGGGGCTAATGATGTGCTTTTATAAACAGAAGAAAGAGCCAAAAGGTGAGTCCAACACCTCCAGTCCTGCAACACCCATCAAGATACCAGACTGTCCTGTCCCAGCCTCACTGCTAGAGGAGCTGCTGAGGCCCCCACCTGCTGTGAGCAAGGAGCCCCTCAAGAATCTCAACAGCTGTTTGCAGCAGCTCAAGTATGATTTGTTTTCTATGCTCCATTTTGTTCGGCCTTTAGACATGACATGTTTTTCCTGGGGGAATTTCTTCTGTTGTTTTTAGAGTACCTATATCTTTGAAGCTCTTCTGAAATAAAAGCTTTTTACTGGCAGAGCTTCTGGGGTCCATGTTGTAAGGTGAAAATAGCTAAGTAGACTATCTTGGAAGGCCCTTAAAAGGTCAGGTGTTACACCTATCCCCTGTAGGCCAAGCCTCCTAGCTTAACACAGAAGAGAACAGCATCATGGACTATTTATAGCGCATAGGACCCTGATAGGCAGATGACCTTGTGACAATGGCCTCAGGTGACAGCTTCTAGACAGCAACTTAATTAGCATCAGGCCTTCAGGTCTGTGTTTTTCTCACATTCCTGATGGAAGTACCTCTCAGAAAACAGAAACCTATGCCAGATTGTTTGCTGGCTTCTTCCCAAAGTGAGAAAAATTGTCAGGGGCTTTTGCCTTCTTTGACTCTGGCTGATTTTGCTGGTCTGTGATACATTTATTGGTCTTTGAGGGAACCACATATGGTGGTGAGCCCATTGCATCCACGGTAGCTTGTTAAAGGGAGCTATGGCTAGTGGTTCTGTCTGATCCTTGTATGATTTAGGGTTTCTTCTTCTGCCTTCTCTCGTCTCCCCAGGCAGGAAATGGACAGTCTACAGCGCCAGATGGAGGAGCATGCCATCACTGTGCATGAGTCCCTGACCTCATGGGCTCAGGTGGAAGCTGCTCCAGCAGAGCATGCTCATCCCAGGGGAGACACAAAACCACATAGTCAAAACAATGTTTCCAGAGAAGAGCTGGGCCAATGACTACTGTTGTCCTCATCACCAAGTATTTGTGGCTGCTGAAGGAATACTCTTGTCAATATTATTTATTTGATCTTGATCGAGTGCTCTGGTTGTTTTTGTTTTGTTTTGTTTTGTTTTTGAAAAATAAGATTCAAATTTCATTTTACTTTTTTATCAAGGATTAAAGTAACTAAATGAGCTGGGAGGTAGGTGATGGCACACTCCTATAATCCCAGCACCTGAGAGACAGAGGCAGGCAGATCTCTGAGTTCAAGAATAGCCAGGACTACACAGAAAGACCCTGTCTCAATAAAATAACTGAATGAGTCAAAGATTAAAGAAATAGTCATTTTAAACCACAACTAGCTTTTCCCACGAAATGACCAAATCTTAAAAACATCAGAGTTTGGATTGCTGGTGAAATCTGAATCTACTTAAACAGGTACTTGCAGAAGGAAGGATCTTCTGTGTGGCTATAGACACACATAGGGTGTTGACAGTAACTTGTTCTTATCTGGAACTATGCAGAATGAGCTCAGTGGGCATCAGCACCTAGTGGTCTCTACTGTTGCATTCGCTAAGACCTTTACTTTCCTACAGAAATGAATTTTGATTTGCACCTTTTGCTTTTTATTTCATTTGTTTTTCAAACTATCCTACCTATATACAATGTATATATAAATATTGAAAGTCTTTTGAAAGCATATACCTATATTATTTAAGGACCTACTGTCTTACTGATTGCCTTTTGAAAATTTGCTACTGGGAAACAGTATACATGTAGCTTTAGGGATGTCACTTTTTTTTTTAATGTATTTTAAGAAATATAACTTATTTTCTATGCACCCTAAAACCAAATATTCTTGCACAGAAAGTTGTTTTAATTTTAGTCTTTTTATTTCTGAAGGTCTTTTCTGCCAGCATCTCCAAGAATAACACTGACCACTTAGGCTTTAGGCCTTATGTGGTTCCACTCACTTTGGCTTACAAATAGGCAGAGCCACTGAGGCCTTGTAGGGGATGAGAGGACCTCCAAAGTCTCCTCATACTGACCTGGCATTTATAGAGCACAGGAAGAGGAAAAGAGCTGGAGAAGAGGCAGCTTGGCCTGTGTGGGTTATAGGATGCATACACTGCATCCCAAAGATGGTATTTATGGAACACTCTGAGTGTCTGGTGGTCATCAGGAGCTACCCTGGTGGCACAGGAAGTCAGAGTGACACCTGGAAGAAGGTGGGCAGCTGTGGTCTTCTGAGACAAAGAGAGTTAAGAGACAAAAGTCTTGTTTAAAGTCAGCACTAAGTATGTGATTTGTTGCAACCTGCTTCCCAAATCATATACTAATACTTTATATACTGACTAGTTAGAAGAGTTGAAGTCTTTAATCTTTGTGAATGCTTATGAACAAAATTTAAAATAAAGTGGGTTTTGTGACTCATGATTGTAGTCCCAGCACTTGAGAGGTAGAATCAGGAGGAGAATCAGTTCAAGACCAATTTTCAGTTACATAGCAAGTTTGAAACAAGCCTGGATTACATGAACCCATGACCTTAAAAGTCAGAACAGCTGGAACAACAACAAAAAGGTCTGAAATGTTATTAGAAGGGAGAGAGAAAGACCTGAAGAAGAAAATTCTGAGCATCCATGATCAGCCAGTTGGTGTCTTTTAGTGGGTTTTTTTTTTTGTCTATTTTGTGGAGAATCAGTATGAAGTTTTTTGTTGTTTTTCAATATGAAGTTTTTAATCTGTGTTCTCTTATAATACCCTATTAGGTTAACTGATATGGTTAAAGTAGAACTATCCACAATGATGCCTGGTGTTTGAAAACTATTCCCTAGGAAGTATTGAACTTTTACAATGTGTATATAATTTGTACAAAGTTAATCTTAAAAAAAATACTTGAAAACTTCATTATAAATATACCCTTTTTTATCTCTAAATTAGAAAAGGATGGTAATTTACATTCTTATCTTGTATTTTTAATTTCAAAACCAAGAACTAGCACTTGGGTTGGACTTACTCTGCCACAGAGCTGCTTTCTCCTATGCGGAGAGTGAGTTGTGTTGTCCTAGGAAAGGATAAGCTCATTCTGAACTCATTGAAGTAAAGGTTTGTTTCACGTCTTAACCCATTTCTTCAGTTGATTTGTTTCCCATGTGCATGTACACCCTCAGAAACAGCACTTCCTCGAAACTTTGTAGTCTACTTTGCAGGCCCTTGACTAGGTTCCTTTAGGTTCCATGAAAGGCCTGTCATGTCTTGGCTTCATTCTCTCCCTATCTTTGTGTACCAGTGTGTCTTTTCTCATATTTGTAATTCAGAGGACTTTTAGAATGGAGCTGGCATTCTCTTAGGGTTTCTTAAGTCATCTTGAAGTTGAATTTTTTAAGTTTCCTTTGAACTAAGGTATTGGTTTTCAGTTTGTTTGTTTTTTAATGTGCATTGGTGTGAGGATTTCAAATCCCTTAGAATCGGGGTTACAAACAGTTGTGAGCTGCCATGTGGGTGCTGGGAATTGAACCCGGGTCCTTTGGAAGAGCAGTGTTCTTAACCACTGAGCCATCTCTCCAGCCCATTTTTCTCTTTTTGGTTTGGCTTTTTCCCTCCTAGTTCCAAGTGTCTTCACTTTACTTCACCTCCTAGAGCTGATTCTTGGGTGACTACAGCTTGAATTACTGTTGCCTCAGTAGCCAAACCTGGGAATTTTAGGTTTACTCATGAAAAACTGCAGGCAGGTCTGGAAGGTTGCTATGTCAGGCAGTCTTACCATTGTATAATATTGCGCATTATCATAGATGCTGTATCAGGTCCTGCACCTGACACCTTCGCTTGTCTACTTTATGATATGACTTTTTTTCTATGTTCAAAAAATTATTATCATGAGCTTTCCATCGTTTCTATGGCACACATTAGATTGATGCCACGATCTTTGATTTTTACAGCATTGTAGCAGGCAATGATTTTGAGATGATGTGAGATGGACTTTACTTGGGCTTGGGGTACAGAGAACAATACCTGCCCTCTCAGAAGGTAGTCTTAGTGTATGTAGCAGAAAGCATGTGTTAAATTCGTCTTCCATTTCAAAACATGACTTTTACCAATATATGAATACTGTAAAAGCAATAGGCTTATGGGGTCATGATGATACATATTTTCATGTATCTTGAAACAAAAATTGATAGGTGAAGATTCTGAGAGTGAAGGAACCATCATATTTGAAAAGGAAATGTCTTGGAGCCTTTTAAGGACCCCAGTGATAAGAATAATGTTACGGTGTGAGATAGACCCTTGGTGTACTTTTTTAAAACTCTTTTATTTACATTTCTTATATCTCTTTCTCCCTACTCTACCCCAATCCCTTCCAACATCCCAACACCAGGTAGGAGAGAGAAAGGATTAGTGGGAGAGGGGGCACAGTTCTCTTAGCTGCTTCCTGCTGTTTAGGGCCATCAGGTTCCTTGGAGCCAGTCCAATCCTCTGTTCAGGAAATCTCCAACTTCTTGCCTCATTGCATCAACAGCTACCAGGAGTTTCAGGGGGAAGCAGCAGCAGCCTTGTTCTTTCTCGGAGCTCCCTCAACACTCTCTGGGCTCTGGCCTTTATTCCCTCTCCAGAGTCCTCAGATTTAAACTATCTGCAGCTGGCAAAGAGCGCAGAGCCTCTTTGCCTGCATGAGGCAAATAGTTTACTGCTGTGGACTATCTGAATCAGTTCCACATCCCACACCTGGATTAAAACAAAACATGTTTATATCCACAAAAGACCCTAATGATAAGAATAATGCTGTGGTATGAGATATACTGAGTCTCATCCTAACATGCTCAGCGGTTTGGATTTCGAGCCAAATCTGTTCTGTAGTGGTCTTAGGTTCTGACAGGATCCTTGGATTGATGTCCAGTTTAAAGGATCCAAAATTTCAGTGGTCTTTGAGTTTCACATTTCTATAAAAAATTTCCTCACCAGAAAGTCAATCTTCATGTTGGGGCTTTTCCAGGAAAACTGTCATCACAGGTAACAAACTGTAACTTAGAAAAGCATGTTGACCTTTTTGTTATTGTTTTGCCTTTTTTTAATATATGCGTGCTTGGGAATTCCTTACATTTTATGCAATAAACTATTTTTGGTAAAGGTTTTCATAATTCATTGGGGAGAGCTTCATTTTCAGTACTAGTGTTTTGTCATATTTGGGAGTAGCTTTTTTTTTTTTAGATTTATTTATTTTATGTATATGGGTAATTTATTTGCATATGTGCCTGCAGGCCACAAGAGGGCTTCAGATCATGTTACATGAGGTTGTGAGTCACCATGTGGTTGCTGGGAATTGAGCTCCCTACCTCTGGAAAAGCCAGTGCTCCTAACCACTGAGTCATCTCTCCAGCCCCTTGGAGTACCTTTTTAGCTCATGTTGTTTCACACCATTTCATTTATCTATCTGTCTATTTCGAATCAGGGTTTCTCTGTGTAGCCTTGGCTGTCATGAACTCACTTTGTAGACCAGGCTGGCCTAGAACTCACAGAGATACACTTGCCTCTGCCTCCCTGAGTGCTGGGATCAAAGGCGTTTGTCACCACGCCAGGCTGATTCACACCATTTAAAAAGATAATTAAGTCCTACTGAAGTTTGAGGAAGATTAACACAAGATTCTCTCCTTGTGTTAAACCAGCAGAAGTAGCACATTAACCATTTCTCTTCATTGGCCTGCATCCACCATCACCATGAAGCAGCAGCAGACATGCAAAAGTGTGTGCAGAGAGCAGAGGATGTTGGGAGCCTGTCTGCTCAGTGCTCTTGAGCTGACTAGTCTCTGCTGGGTTAATTTTCATATCTCAAGGAATTTCTTCTCTTTTTTAATTCACCCGTTATTTTTGATCAGAGTCCTATTTCAGCTAAATATTAATAAGCCACACAGTTTAAATCAAGTATGAGAAAGGAGAAGGATTTGGGAAGCTCAGTATTTAAATCACTGAGGTGCTCAGAAACCTGATAGCTTATGCAGTTTTAGGAAGTGTGTTGGAGAGAACTATAAAATTATTTATTTAACACTCCCACCACTCATGATAGGTGCCTTAATTTTGGTTTCTTTTACTGTGAAGAGACACCATAATCACAGTAATGTATGAGTGTAAGTATAAATGGGAATTAGACAAAAGCCTAGAAAAAAATAAGTCAGCTTTCAACACTAAACACAAAAGTAAATTCAACACAAAATAAAATTGTGAAACTTTTTTCATTTTTTAATAATTTTTATTTTATATTAATTATAGTTTATTTACTTTTTTCATTTTTTTTTGTTTGTTTTCCTAGACAGGGTTTCTCTGTGTAGCTTTGGCTGTCCTGGAACTCACAGAGCTCTTCTTGCCTCTGCCTCCAGAGTGTTGGGATTAAAGACATGCACCACCACTGCCACTCTTACAAAAGAAAACATTTAATTGAGGCTGGTTTACAATTCAGAGGTTTACAATTCAGAGGTTTAGTCCATTATCGTCACGGTGGCAGACAGACAGACATGGTGCTGGAGAAGTACCTGAGAGGTGTGCATTTGAATAAGCTGGAAGCAGAGTGACACTGGCTTAAGCATCTGAAACCTCAAAGCCCACCCCTTGTGACACTTTTTCTCCAACAAGGCCACACCTATAATAATGCCATTTCCTGTGAGTCTGGGGGCCATTTTCATTCAAACCATGACAAGGGAGAGTTCCCAAGCCTAAGTATGAAAGAATTCTTAGAATCTGTGCCATTATCTCTGTTCTGCCCAGTTCACAAACCCCAAAAGACCAGGAGTAACTAGACTCCGCTGTAAATACATGAGGTTCTTTTTATTGTAAATTACAAGCTGCAGCTTGGGCCCACATACACCCACTGCCGAAGCGGTGGGAGCCTAGCACGCTGTGCCTACGTTAGTTGGGTGATATAGATTCCGGTCCCTCCCAGCATGCCCAAGGCAGGGGCAGTTCCTGCCTGGCAAGCATCTATTGGTCAAAATGCTACATTTTTAATTGATTGGCTATAGGAAGGTCCCCAGACCATAATGACCTGGTGTCACTCCCTAGGGGATGGGCCAGTTTCCTAGCAACTGTTATCTCTAGTGGGTGGGGAAAGAATGCAGTAAGGCAGTCCTTCCCCTCAGGGCATTACTAGATTTCAGTTCTTAATAATAGCTGCTAATTCTTAATCTTTTGGTCTCTCAATCTCCATCCCCATGGTTATTTCAATGGCATAAACCTGGCTCCCAAAACAAACTGATAACCTGTTGCTCAAGTTTCTGGGGAGATGTAAACAACAATATAAGTTCATTCTGGGAAGTCAATGAGTTTATTTGAGTTCTTCATAGAACACAGGTGGGAGGGTACTCATAGGAATGTGGATGCGCCAGGAAAGCCTCTACCCAGCAAGGAGGGCCTCCCAGTGAAGCACAGATAAGAGCACTCCTCCCCTAGTCTTTTCCACCCTCTATACTCTAACCTCCTCAAATACAACAGATGGTAGCAGCTAGGTACTCAGGTGAGGTTCTCATGAGGGGATATAGTCAGGAAACCCAGCTGAGATAACCCTTTTACAAGGGGCACAGCTTAACTCCCAAAAATAGTGGTAGACTGACTCAAGACAGTTACACATACCACCTTCGCAGGCCTTTTGTGTTCTTCCATAGTTGAACTACAGTTAAGAGTTGAAGATGGCACCTACTAGGCTGCAGTTGTAGCAGCCCAGATTAAGAAGCACTTACTCTTCCCTGCAGTCAGTGCCAGCAGCTCCTTAGGATGGAGGAGTTCTCTGGGTAGCACCATGGATACATATCTTTTATTTCCCCCCCCTTGAGGTTGGTATCTGCAGGAGATGATTTGTAGATTTATACATAATCTGGGTCAGGTTCTTACCTTCACAGTAAAATAGTCGTGTCTTCTGTATGAGCATCCTAGAGTAGAGGAACTCTGGAGGGGCAGATCTGACTTACACACCTCACATGAAGTTTTCTGAACATTAAATATGCATCTCCATATGCATCCCACTACCCTTTGTCTACTTTTGTATAACTTTATGTAAAATTAAAGGGATTAAAAAAAAGATTTATTTATGTCTACAGTGTTTTGTGTGCATGTGTGCCTGTAGGCCAGAAGGCACTAGATCGGCATTTGAATACAGTGCACAGAGCCATCCCCCAGCAACTCCACTGTCTCCACCAGGAAAATCACAGTGCTTACTCAACATTTAAATGCCTCATCAATCTGAAAATAAGTCCAGAATTCCTTGCCAGCCTTTTATTGGCCTCACTACAACCCATAGCTCAGGATTCTTGATTTGCTGCTTTTCCCAACCTGGTTGTATGAACTAGCTTGTCTCAGGCTCCCGGTTGTTGCTGTTCCCAGTTCTCTCTAAATTCTCTGCCATGGGCTGAGACCAACTGTATATATCTTAACATACGGCTGGATCTCTGAAAGCTTAGCACATTTCTGGCAAGTCTTTGGTTTTTGAAACAGGGTGGCCTTGAACTCAAACTCCTCCAACACAATAATGAAGCAAAAGAAAAAATATGAAAAGTTGCTCTCCACTGCCCTAGGGCATATTCCTGGGCCTGTTTCTTGAAGGAATTAATACTACTTTACCCATCTGCCTCAGTCTAAAATTAATCTTTTGTGGGTTTTTGGTGTTTTGGTTTTTGAGACAGGGTTTCTCTATGTAGGCCTGGCTGCCCTTGAACTTGCTCTGTAGACCAGGGTGGCCTCGAATACAAGAGATCCACTTGTTTCTGCCTCCTGAGTGCTACGATTACGGATGTGCACCACCATGCTTGACTAAATTAAAAATGGTAGGTATTCTCCGCCTATGAAATGAGCCAATTCAAGTCAAATAAGATTATATAAATGCAAGTTTATTGGGGACATTTCTTGGGTGGGTTCTCCAGTCCCCTGGTACGGGGCCAGCAAAGTCACCATGCAGAGGGAAACATAAGGAGGGGTAAAGAGAAAGTGCGTTCCAAGATTTGGGAGGTGATGAATGCAGAAATAGAGGGAACCAAAATGTTTGGATTATATAGCGAAGAGCCTCTGGAGGAGAGGAAGCCCCGCCCCAGGGCTGGAAAGTTTAGGGTAGAGGTTGGGGTATGCTAGCCATGCCCTATATCAGGTAGGGACTGAGGGATGCTGGGAGAACCTAGAGGCCAGTGCTCTTAACCTGAGCCATCTCTCCAGCACCCGAGAACTGTTCCTATCATCAAGTCCTCATTAGCATGAAGGCAGGATATACATTTGAACAGAACAGGCATCCAGCAACTCTCCACTCTGCCTTCTTCTCTGAACAAGCAGCCTGGCCCCTTCTTGTTGAAGACTGCTCAAAGTACATTTGAGAAGCTTCACACCATCAAGGGCTTCCATAGTTTTTGGAGCCCTCGTGATCTGTAGTTAGAAGTGAAATTACAGTGACACAAGCTTGTAACCTCAGCGTTCTGCAGGCTCAAGCGGGAAGATCTCCAGCACGAGACCAGTTTGTGGTATACAGCAAAGATTCAAAACGAAGAAGACTTCAAAACATTACAATTAGCAGCCGGGCATGGTGGCACACCTCTTTAATCCCAGTGCTGGGCGTCGTTCGAGTTATCCTTCAGAATGGCACGGACATTTTACCTGGTGTGGCCGTCGTTTTCCCAGAGAAACAGCTCCATATGCAACAGGGGGCAGCGCTACAGAGCACGGTTTCTGGACTTGGCCGCCGTATTCACCCCCAGCCCTTGGCAGTCAAGCACTCGGCCCCTGCTTCTCTGGCCTCGAGATGGCACACAGTCTGGGTGGCCCAGGGGCCAGATCTCGCTCTCCAGCGCCCAGACCAGCGGCAAGGAACCAACTCGGGGCGGAGCACGCATCCAGCGCGCCGAGCGCGACTCAGGACCCTGCCCTGCTGCCCGCGCCACTGCCGGGCTGCGTCTCTCCTGACTCAGGACCCCGGCTGCCTCCGAAGCCGCCTGAAGCGTTCCGGCCTGATCGTTGGGAGACGGGAGACGCCGGGGTGCGGCACGTAGCCCGGCCCCTCTCCCCCTGGCAGGCTGCGCCTCCTGTAACCCCGCGGCCTGACCGAAGCCTGAGGTGGACGCGGCTCCGGCAGCGAGGCGAGCGGCCTAGTGGGGGCCTGAGGCGAGCGCGGCGCGGGCTCTAACAGCGGCGGCCGCGCTCTAGGCCTCGGCGCTGGCGGCGGCGATGCTGTGGCAGCGGTTGGCTGTAGTCGAGTGGGCGGCGCTTGCCTGGGAGCTTTTGGGCGCCTCGGTGCTGCTCATAGCCGTGCGCTGGCTGGTCCGGCGGCTGGAGAAGCGACCGCAGAACCTGGACCGTTGCGCGACACTCTCCTCTCCGTCCGCCCCGTCTGAAGCTGTGACCACTCAGCCAGGTGAGGCAGCGTCCGTCAGTGGGAGGGAAGCCTCGCTCTGCCCACCCTGTGGACACTGTAGGACCCTGCCGCAGCCAGAGTCCACTGGCCGGAATCCGAGCGTTCCTGCGACTGTGGAGGAGATGGAGAGAGCCAGCTGCCGGGGCGCAGCGGAGGCTGGCAGGGGAAGGGCTTTCTGAGCCGGGGAGCAGCTCCAAGGGCTGCGAGAAGGGTGAACAGGAGACTAGAACACTCGCCGAAGAGAGAGGGAAGTTGGTTCTGGCGGTGGTTTGAGTGTGAAGCTTAATGAAGTAAGTTAGATAGGATGAGACAGTGAAGTTAAATGTGACTCCCGATTTAGGGACAGGGAAAATGGAGGGATGTGGTTCTCGTTTATTGCTTTCGGCTGAACTGTCCGATCTGGGTGAGGAGAGATATGGTGATGGTTTCTGGTCACTTTAAGATCGAGGTGACTTTTGGGCAGCAGCCTGGAGTGAAATCGTGTCACATTTGCTTCTGGCTCTGCCACTACTGCTGTGGTACTTCTCAGTTTTGGGCAGGTCATTCACCTACAGTTTTTCAGCCTCGCCATTAGCAGGATACGAATAATAATAACCTTTGCTATGGTTCATTTTTTTTTTTTTTTGAAAGTAATAAACTCAGTGTTGGAAACTGAGCCCTACTACCTACTACCATCATCTGTGCTGCTGTGGTGATGCACGTCTCAGTTCTGGGGAAGGGGCCGGGAGATGAAACCTGGGAGTGTTCAGTAGAGTTCGTGGATACTGTTAGGACCAAATTAAATAATGACGATGATGCGCACAGCAGATTTTATATGAAAGAGATTTATTAGATGGAGATGAAGATAGAGGGAGAAGGAGAGAATGAGACATGATAGGGGAAAGAGGAAGGGGATGCCCGGTTGATCCTTTTAAGGAGCAACGGAACCACGCCTGCCAGGTGTGGCTACCTGGCCGGCGACATATGACATCATCAGTTGCTAGGCAATCCGGAAGCAGGCTGCCAAAATATTAACAGATACATTGTAAGGTTGACAGTTTTTTGTAGGATCTTGTAGTCCTTTTGGTTGTTTTAGAAACTCCTAATATGAACCCACACCTTTGTTCTTCGTTCTTTTCTTCTCTGTTGGAGGTTGGTCTGATGCCTGTTACTACCCCTTAAGATCTGGTTACACCTATCTTTGTTTTCTAAACCTGCCGAAGACATATCTGATTGGTTGATTAAACAGCCCCTATACCTGGGCATGGCAGAATGGTGTAGTCTAGGCTAAGGTTCTCAAGCTTTGGAGGACAGAGAGAATCACAGGAAAGAGGTGAACGGGAAGAGAGGAAAAAGGGATGCCACAATGGGTTAGCTTGGAGAAGGGTCTTCGATGATGGCATGAAAAGGCCCAGATGAATAAAAGCAAGTATTTATAAGATTATGTGTTGGTATATTGTTCTTTTGAAATGTATACACTCTTCCCTTATTCATTGAAATGCTGATTTCTCTCCCCCACTCTCTGGTTTCAATCCAGACATTGCATTGTGATAATTGTGATACTTTTTCTAAGCATCACCTGTCTCAACTTTGTGTAAACATGCCAAAATAAAGCAACTAGCCACAATGTTGAGCAAGGGAAAGGAAGCAGGAAGAGAGGGAAGAGCCAGAGGACAGGAAGGTAGGAGGCAGAGGAGAGAGAAGGCAGAGGTTGGGAGAACAAAGGCAGGAGAGAGATCTTGGAACGATGTGGAGAGATGGACTGGACCTAATATATCACTAAAAGCAAGTATAATGTGGGACATCTAAATGTAAGGAAATTATGAGGGCTTGGAGGTTTAGGATGGACTTAACTATTGCCCAACATTGTGTTCTAGGTTAATTAAATAAATCCCAGTCTCTGTGTGGTGATTTGGGTATACAGCTGTTTAAGATTAACAGCAACTTTATCAGAAGATATATCAATAGTAAATATTAATTGTCACAACAATTATGAATGGAAGAGAGATGGATAAGGAGGGTGGCATTGGATGGGGTTGGGAGATGGATGGTGAGACAGCGTAGATAGGAATATCTGCCCGGCCCAAGGTTAATAAGGCAGTTATAAAATCTGACAGGTGTCTGTGTTATATTATTTGTGATAGCAGGTTAGATAACACTGCCGTGATAATCTTAGGGCTGATAATAATAAACATTAGCTAGCCCAACACCTTTTTTATATTTACTACAACTCTTCTCAGCCCTCCATCTTCCTGGACTATAATCCCATGCTTACCAGGTATGTGTTCATTCTGTGTTCTTCAGAAGCCATGTTTCACTGACACCCCTTCCTCTTAAGTCTAGTTCTTAGTGGAAGGTAAATAGTAATTCCCCCAATTATTTTAGAAGGAAGATGAAATTTTAAACTATTGACTGCATCTTATCTTAGGGGTAACTGAAGCCTCATTTGCTACTTAGAACTTAAACACAATTTCATTATTTATTTATTTACTGATGGGGATAAAACACAAGGCATGGCACATCTGGGCAAGTGTTCTACCACTGAAGTACATCTCAACCCTTCCTTAGTAACCATTGATTTTTCATTTTTTTGCTGAAGAAATGGGGTTGGGAAGGTCAGGGTCATGCTGGTTATTTATGTGGCTGTGGAGAGAGGACATGTATCTGTCATGACAGTAGGTCTAACATCACATCTTTGGGTTTTACGTTCTCTTGCCCCCTTAAGAAATTGGCACCTAGCCTAGTCTTACTGCAACTTGATATGCCATGGCTGGTTGATATGGGTGAGGTGTAGGGGAAGAGGGGAACTGGTAGGAGAGGAGGGAGGAGATGTAAAATAAACAAGCAAATATTTGAATAACAAAAAGTGGCACCTAAAGATTAACACCTGAGGCTCTTCTCTGACTTCTGCATACATACACATACACCTGTAGTTGCATTTATAGGAACACACAAAACAATAAGGGCATCTTTAATAAGTACAGTGCCCACTAATCCATTTAGTCTGTGAACACTGTACCAAAAACTCGAGAAGATCACAGTGAAAATCACCTAGACACTGAAGTAGAGCAATGCATGTGGCTAGTAGGATATATAGCCAAAATACCAGTGTTTGCAGCATCTTGTTTTGCTAAAAATTTCTTTTCAGTTTTTGGTTTTTAATTTTGAAATCATATTAGGTGTATAAAGGATTATTAAAAACTATTCAGAACAGTTTAACTCATGTACAAAGATATTCTACATTACCATCTGATAGGGGGAAAAAAGTTCAACCTAAAGTGAGGTGTTAATGCATAACCTTTTAAATTAACTAAGATTTAAATAATACTGATGTCCCCAGAAGTTGACGAATGCTGAGAAGATGGCTCTCCTACATTATTGGTGGGCCTATAGACACCCTAGAGTAGTCTAGAAGTGTCTCAAGGAAGTTAAGCTTGTCCTGTACCCATAAGCTTTTGTGTGGCAGAATATTTGATCCAATTGTGAACCCCAAAGTTGTGAACTGTAAAACCCTGTTTGTTTGGTTTGGTTGAGCTCAAACACACACCTTTAATCCAAGAACTTTCTGTTTGTTGTAAACAGTTGACTATGGTGTGGTTCACCCAGCCCTAGCACACAATTTAATCCAAGAGCTCTCTGTGTATGGACCTAAGTTAAAAGGGTAGCTTTAGAATAAGAATACAGATTGTATTTAAGGTATGATCCTGTGAGGAAACTGAGCACTCACTTAAGCATGTGCTTAACTGCTGAGCTGCAGGCCTGTTGTTCAAGTTGATTTTTGCTTTCTTGAACTTAGGTGAAATGACAATGGATGCCATGTTGGCTCGATTGAAACTCCTGAATCCAGATGACCTTAGAAAAGAAGTAATGAAAGCTGGATTGAAATGTGGACCTATTACATCAACAACAAGATTTATTTTTGAGAAGAAATTAGCTCTGGCTTTACTAGAGCAAGGTGGATTGCTTACTTCCTCTCTTCCCAACCACAGTGAGGTGACTGCAAGGAGTCCTGCATCTGTAGAAGGGAAACAAACTCAGCAGTCCAGTTTTCCTGAAGACAAAGATTTTGGCTACAGTGTGGGCTTGAACCCTCCAGAAGAGGAAGCTGTAACATCTAATGCCCACCCAGTACCTTTCAGTGCCTCTGCCAAGAATGACAACCACAAGGCCGGAGAGACAGCTGCTAAAGAGCCACTTCTGTACTATGGAGTATGTCCAGTATATGAGGATGGCCTTGTGAGAAATGGTAATATGCTGTGTAGTATCTCCTCACCCAAACTGGGAAACTATCATCTTATCACCCAAGATTAATTGTACCTTCTGCTTTTTTCTTTTTTAATCTAAGGAATACTTTTTTTTTTAAAGATTTATTTATTTATGCATATGAGCACCTTATTTGCATGTATGCCTGCATGACAGAAGAGAGCATCAGATCCCATTATAGGTGGTTGTGAGCCACCACGTGGTTACTGGGAATTCAACTCAGGACCTCTGGAAGAGTAGACAGTGCTCTTAACCACTGAGCATCTCTCCAGCCCATACTTTTTCTTTTAGTTACTAGGAAAACTGGATTCTGTCAGATGTGACTTGCAGATGATTGGCTCACTTCCATTTGTTATAAACTGCTGATTAATCATCTTTCTTCTCCTTCTTAAATTTATTACAACCCAAACAGCTTTTAGGTCAATAAATGTAACTGTACTAATGAGTGTAAGTTTTGGGCTAGAGATCAGTTGTAGTGGGTAGAGCATTTACCTAGCATTCATGGAGCCCTGTGTTCAATCCCCAGTGCCATATAAACCTGATATGGTAACATATAACTATTACCTAGCACTTGTGTGGATGCTAGCCTGGAATATATGAAATCCTCTCTTTAAAAAAATAAAAATAAAAGGAAAAATGTAATTCTATTTCATTTTAGTCATATACTGTGTGCTTAGGCCTGGATCTTGCTATATGGCCTAGGATGGGCTTCAAATCTCAACCCCTCTGACTTTTCCTTATGACTATTGGAATAATAGGTATACGCCGTTATATCTGATCCAACAATTTTAAGTTTTAATTGTTTTTATTTAGCTCTTTAATCCATTTAAAATTCTTTTTTTGTTGTTTGTTTGGTTGGTTTTGATTTTTTTGAGACAGGGTTTCTCTGTGTAGCCTTAGCTGTCCTGGACTTACTCTGTAGACCAGGCTGGCCTCGAACTCACAGAGATCCACCTGCCTCTGCCTTCCCGAGTGCTGGGATTACAGATTTGCACCACCACACCTGGCTTTAAAATTGATTTTTAGTAAGTACCTTGGGATATGAAATTAACATAGGGTATATATGATATCATTTCTTATATAAACACACATGTAAAATGAACTTTTATTCTCCTGTTGTAATTGTTGTCTCAGAGGCTTACTGCCTAGGCCTAATCCTGGAAACTTCTAGCCTCCGTACAATCTAACTTAGGCCTAGAATATTTTCAGCCTCTGAGACTTACTGCTTAATAACCTCACCCTTTCTCGTTCTTACTAAGCTCTGGGCTGCTGGTTCAACTCAGTTGTTCTGGTTCAAACTTTCTCCCAACTAACTTATTTAATCTGTCTTTTCTCTCTGAATTGCCTCAAACTAACTCCAACACTCTTTTCTAATCTTCTGGCTCATTCAGTCTTTACTTGAGTTCTCTGCCTACAACCTGTCTCTCTATCACTGTCCCCATAAAACTGACTCCTCTCTCTCTCTTTCTCTCTCTCTCTCTCTCTCTCTCTCTCTCTCATTGCCCCTTAAGTAGCTTCCCTTTCCTCTGTCTTCTCCTGAGTTGGGTATATCCTATTCTGTCAAATCTTTCTCACTGTTTCTGCCACTCAATTAGACATCACTTTCAAACATGGGTGCTTCATTGTTTGGGGTTAAAAGCATATGCCACCACGCCTGCCCCCAAGCTTTTCTTTACCTGAAAGAAATTGCTTTCTCTATACCAGGCTAGCTTTGAACTCAGATCTTCTTGCCTCTGTCTCATTGACTGAAGGTATGTTTATTCCAGCTGGATCATACAGGCCTAGAAGGTCTTCAAATGTGATCTCTTGCCAGAGCAGCCATGTTCTGAATTAAAAGTCGTCCACACGCATATATTATCAAGTGTGATTTTTTTATCTTTGAGAGCCAAAAAAAATGCCATTAAGATAAAAAATGGCAAGTGAGTGGAATGATGGCTCAGTGATTAAGAGCACTTGATAATCTTCATGCATATCCCAGCTCATATATTAGATGGTTCATAAATTACCTATAACCCCAGCTCCAGGGGATCTGATCCTCTTTAGGCCTCCAAGGGTACTCACACATACATTACATGCATACAGTCATAAAAACATATACATACATACTTCTTTATCCAAAAAAAAATATTTTTATAAAAGATTGAAAATCTGAACTATGAACATTAGGGTGAAATCAAGAAACCTGTTAAATTTAAATTGACTGCTGAACTCTGGGTACAATTAACACAGGGTTCAACCTATTCATCTTTTAATTTCCCCTGTTACTTTCATACCTAGAAAAGATTCATGTTTATGAAGATAAAAAGGAAGCATTACAAGCCGTCAAATTGATCAAAGGGTCCCGGTTTAAAGCTTTTCCAACAAGAGAAGATGCTGAGAAATTTGCTAGAGGAATATGTGATTATTTCCCTTCTCCCAACAAAACTGTCTCCTCACTGTCTCCCGTGAAAGCAGTGCCACTCTTGAGTAGTGATGGACCGAAAGGTAAGCCAGGCTGTACTTGTCTTGTTGTTACTGTCAGTTACCCTACTGTCCTCTTTCCTGATGTATGGCTCCTTGATTTCTTCATCTGGGAGATAAATCTGGTGTAGGAAGAGGTAGAGAACTGAAGTGCCTACAATGGAACAACCAAAGAGAAAGGGACTTGAGGCTACCCTGGGAAGGTTTGAGGGCATAAGGAAAAACTCTTTTATTTGTGTTTCTTATATCTTTTTCTCCCTACTCCACCCCAATCCCTTCCAACACCCCAACACCAGATAGGAGAAAGAAAGGGTTAATGGGAGAGGGGTACAGTTCTTTCTTAGCTGCTTCCTGATGGCTGGGTTCCTTGGAGCCAGTCTAATCCTTGTTTCAGGAGATCTCCATCTTCTTGTCTCACAACAGCAACCAGAAGCAGCAAGGGGGGAAGCAGGAGAAGCATTGTTCTTTTCTACCATCTCTTTCCTGGGCTCTGGCATTTATTCTCTCTCCAGAGTCCTCAGATTTAAACTATGTGCAATTGGCAAAGAGCTCCTCTCAGAGCTCACATGAATAGTCTGCTGCTGTGGACCATCTGAATCAGTCCCACATCCCACACCTGGGACCAAAACAAAACATGTTTATAGCCAGAATCAGTACTGCAAGAATCAGTCTCTCTGTGGCAGCCAGAAATCTGTCTACATCCTATTTGTGTCTCAGAACCAAAGGCCAGTTTGGAGACACTTGACTTGATTCACATCCCTTTTCCCTACAATTGTTTGAGGTGGACCAAAGGCCTTCATTTGAGGGCCTGTCACCTATGCTTCTCTTACTGAGGTCTCTCTTTCAGTTTGGGAAAGTACTCCTGCAGGAGATGGTTTTAAGAAGCTATCAGGTTTTGATTAAACCTTAAAAACTGTATGTGGAACTCTTTCTCTAAGGGAGTATTGCAGTTGGGTTTTTAAAGACAAGGTATCAATCATGTTAATCCAGGGTGGCTTTGAATTTATAGTCCTCCTATCTTAACATCCTAGTACTGGATTATAGGTATGCACAACCATACTCAACTTCTTCAAATTACACTAAATGGCTAGGCATGGTAGTGCATGCCCTAATGCCAGTACTCAGGAGGTACATGTAGATGGATCTCTGTAAGTTTGAGGCCAGCGTGGGCTACATGGTGAAGTACCCAAAATGAGGTCTTAATCTCGATCTTCAACCATCTGATTGGATTCAGCACTGCCTTAGTATTATCATGTGCTTTATACCATTGTCATTTCTTACCTATCACTCCCAAGACCTGCTGATCTCTATAGCGAGGCTGCAGCCTTCACCCCAGTGGACTAAGTGAAAAGAAAATATTTGTGAGATTAAGTGTCTTCAATTCTGTCTTGATAGCAGATGGTTTGTGTCTGGCTGAATCAGAAACAGTAAACAAAGAACGAGCAAACAGTTATAAAAGCCCCCGTACACAGGACCTCACTGCCACACTGCGGAAAGCTGTTGAGAAAGGGGATGGACGCATGTTTTCTGATCTTATCTGGAGTAATCCCCGATATCTAATTGGTTCTGGGGACAACCCAACCATTGTACAAGTAAGTATGCTTCCAACATCATATCTGGTCACTTAATTCTTAACCAGTGACAGTATTTTAACAAACATGAAGCTCAGCAAATGGTCTTCTTTCAGGAAGGATGTAGGTACAATGTCATGCATGTTGCTGCCAAAGAGAATCAGGCTTTTGTGTGCCAGCTGACATTAGAGACTCTGGAGAATCCTGAGTTTATGCGTCTGATGTACCCAGATGATAACCAGGATATGCTGCAGAAACGCATCCTTTACATCGTTGACCTTTATCTGAATACTCCTGACAAAGTGGTAAGCATTCCTCATTAGTTTGTCTGATAAAAGTTTGGGTTCCTGATATGTGGGAGTATTTTTTGTTTTTCTTTGCTACATCAATATGCAAGGCTTGTGGAATAACAGGAAGACAAGAATGTTTATTGATTTAGAGAGAAGGATGGTTTTGGTGATGTTACATAAAAAAACCTTTCTTGGGGAGATGCAACACACATGTTGGGAACTCCAGATAGGGAATCATGACAGACAGTGCAGATACCTGACAAATGCAGATACCACCAACCTCTAACTTAGTGAAAAAAAAAAAAAAAAAAAAAAAAACAAAACAATGGATTTTATTGTGGTTACTCATAGCATTATGGTGAGGGATTACTTAAAGGAGCAGAAATGAATGACTCAAAGGTAGTTGGATCACCAAGGCCCACCCTGGCATGGGTAACAGCTTATAAAGAGCTGGGAAACATGGTACGCACTACACAGCCTGCAAACAGCTCAGCAGATTAGAGAGTGTCTGTTCCGGATGCCTCAGTTGGTCTAAACCTCTTCCAGGCAGCTGATCCATCTTAATGTTCTGTCGCTGTGAAAAGACAGCATGACCACAGCAACTCTTATAACAGGCAGCATTTAATTGGGGCTTGCTTTCAGTTCAAAGGTTTAGTTCATTGTTAGCATGGTGGGAAGCATGGTGGCATGCAGGCAGACCTGGTGCTGGAGAGTAGCTGAGAGTTCTACATCTGGGTCTGCAGGCAGAAGGAAGAGAAGAAAGACACGGGGGCTAGCTTGAGTTATTTTCAAACCCCAAAGCCCACCCCCAGTGATATACTTCCTCCAACAAGGCCAGACCTCCTCTGACTACACTTCAAGTCTGTGAGCCTTTGGGGGCTATTCTATTCAAACAATCATATTCCATTCCCTGGCCATAATGCAAAATTCATTTACCCCAACTTCAGAAATCCCCATAGTCTATAGCAGTCTTAACACTGTTTAAAAGTCCAAAATTCAAAGTTAGCTCTCCAGCAGGTTCACTGACTCACAGGTAGAGGTCAGTGAAGTCACCATGCAAGGGAGACAGAAAATTGGGGTAGAGGTGCTTGCACAGAGAGAAGAGAGAGGTACCAAAAATGACTGGGTTATATAGTGAAGAGCCTCTGGGGGAGAGGAAGCCCCACCCCTGGGCTGGAAAGTTTAGGGTAGAGGGTAGGGTATGCTAGCCATGCCCTGAAACAGGTAGGGACTGAGGGATACTTGGTGAACCTGGGGGCCAGGTCCCCTTTGGCTAAATGGGTACCTGAGCTGCTTGTTCCAGGTCTGAATCCCAATACTCATGGCAATCTCTCAACTGTAATCACCTGTAAAGTAAAAGCAGATCACATTCTTCCAACATAAAATGACACAATATACATTACCATTCTAAAAGGGAAGGATAGGAACATAGTGAGGAAATATTGGACCAAAATAAGACCAGAGAAACAGTAGGGCAAACTCCAAACTCTGGCTCTCCGTGCCTGATATCAAAGTGTTCTTCAGAGCTCCAGCTCGATTCAATTTTGTTGACTGCAGCACACTTCTCTCTGTTGGGCTGGTTCCACACCTGGTCTGCAGCTTTCCTTGGCAGGTATCCCATGGCTCTAGCATCTCCAACATCTTGGGGTCTCCAAGGCATTCCAGGCTTCACCTTCCCAAAATGGCCTCTCTGGACTTCCATGCAGGGACACCCCTGACACATGCCTGGCCTCAGCAGCTTAGCAGTAGAGGAAGATTCCACAACCGCGTCCTTGCATCCTTGATTCTAAAGCCAGAACCATGTAGCCAAAGTTGCCAGGTTCTTCTTCTTGCTGGGGCTGGAACATGGCTCCCTTGTTCATATACATTTCCACCAGTGTGAAATGAACTTTTATTCACTTTCTTCAGTTGTTGTTTGGGAGGCTTACTGCCTCTGTCTGCTAACCTAGGCCTAGTCCTAGAAGCTTCGAATCTCCATACAGTCTAACTTGGACCTAGAATGTTTTCAGCCCTGAGACTTACTGTTTTCTTGTTCTTGTTCTTTCTGAGCTCATAGTTGGCTGAATCAACTCAGCTGTTGTGGCTCAAACTTCTCTCCCAGCTGACTTACTCAGTCTGGCTTTTCTCTCAGCTCTGCTTGGCCTCAAACTAATTCCAGCAATCTCCTCTGATCTCCCGGCACCTTCTAATTCTCTCTCTGGCTCATTCGGTCTTCACCTGAGTCCTCTCTCTACAACCTGTCTCTCTATTATTGTCCCCATAAAACTGCCTCCTCCTCTCTCTGCATTGCCTCTTAAGTAGCTTCACTTTCCCTTGTAGGCGTAAAACTATTTTATTTAGTTTCTTATGCCTCTTTCTACCTTTTCTACCCCAATCCCTTCCAACACCAGGTAGGAGATAAAAAAGGTTAGTGGGGAGAAGGGACAGTTTTTCTTAGCTTAACTTCCTGCTGGTCGGGGTTCTCAGGTTTCTTGGGCAAGTCCAATCCTAGTTTCAGGAGATCCCTAACCTCGCCTCACACTACATCAACTGTAACCAGGAGCACCAGTTGGATGTTCTTCAGCTCAGTTCTGGTGATATCAAGTGAGATCCTACAGAATCAAGGCTTAGTCACAAAAGATTAGTCCCACCTTAAATATTAGCCATATGCCCAATTTGTCCTGTTTATGCTTTGACATCTGAAATGTTGGATTTATAGGCAAGCGCCACCATGCCCAGCTGACTTGCTCATTTTTAGAGCATTGGTTCCATGACTATATATTGGGTCACAAATTGTTAAGGTTGACTGCATACCTTTGATTGTAAGTGCCTCCTTGGACCTGGCACTTAACACCAAATAAAGAGTGACAGATGTTAGTGTGCCAGGCTCAGGGCCTGGCAAACAATGACTATATGCTAGCATGCCAAGTACTTTTGCCAAGTATAAAAGCAATATCTTTGTTTTTGAAGCCTTTTTCTTTTGGGGTGGGTTTTTTTTTTTTTTTTTTTTTTGAGATAGTCTTTTTTTCAATTATTTTTATTTTATGTACAGTAGTGCTTTGCCTGCATGCATGTCTGTATGAGGTTGTCAAATCCCTGGGAACAGGAGTTACAAACAGTTGTAAGCTGCCATGTGGGTGCTGGGAATTGAACCTGGGTCCTCGGGAAGAGCAGCAGTACTCTTAAACCACTGAGCTGTGTCTTCAGCCTTTGAGATAGGGTCTTATGTAACCCAGGCTGGCCTCAGACTACTATGTAGCTAAGAATGACTTTGAATTCCTGGTCTTTCTGCCTTCACTTATCAAGTGTTATCACACAGGTCTGTGGCTCTTTTACTTTTTGTTTAAAAAAAAATTTATTGCTAGATATGGTTTGAGATAGTCTCAAACTTTAATTCCAGCACTCAGGTGGCAGAAGCTGACATGATCTCAGTTTAAGGCCAGCCTGGTCTACATTAGGAGTTCAAGCTACCTAGGGCTACATAGTGAAACCTGGGTTCAAAACACTTTTTTTTTTTTTGAGACAGGGTTTCTCTATGTAGCCCTGGCTGTCCTGGAAACTCAGTTTGTAGACGGGGCTGGCCTTGAACTCACCTGCCTCTGCCTCTGCCTCACTGAGTGCTGCGATTAAAGGTTTGTGCTACTACGCCTGGCTCAAAACACATTTTTTTTTATTATATATTTATTTATTTAGTGTGTGTGCTGGGGTGAGAGGGTCTAGATGTCATAGGACACAGTTCTCTTTTTCCACCCAGGGACTGAAATCAGGTTGTCAAGCTTGATGCGGTGGTTTTCTTTTAAATCAGTGGTTTTCAACCTGTGGGTCGCAACTCCTTTGGGGGTTGAATGACCTTTTCACAGGGATTGCCTAAGACCATTAGCAAACATATTTGTATTATGATTCATAACTGTAGCAAAATTACAGTTATGAAGTAGCAACAAAAGTAATTTTATGGTTGGGGTCACCACATGAAGAACTGTATTAAAGGGTCACAGGCTTAGGAAGGTTGAAAACCACTGTTTTAAATAAATACATACTTTTACTGTAGAACATCCATGTTAATAATTTGAGTAAGCAATTGTGCTTCTTATACACCTTTCCTAGGGCTTTGATACACCATTGCATTTTGCTTGTAAATTTGGAAATGTGGATGTAGTCAATGTGCTTTCTTCACACCCTTTGATTGTGAAAAACCCAAAGAATAAATATGGTAAAACACCTGAAGATGTAAGTAACTTTTAAATTGTAACTACTATCTTATGTTAGAAATTAAAATATACAGATTTGCATTCTGTGACTGTAGCTGGTGAAATCATAAGTAACTGAGTTGTGTTTGCTTTGTGAGACACATTTAGAATGCTGACTGCCGAGCATGATGTACTCTGTAAAAGCATGTATTTTTAGAGCCAGGAGGGAAACTAACCTAGTCTTGCTGATTTTATTTTTTCTGAAACTGGCCATCAGCATTAGCCAACCAAGTTCAAAGAAAAAGAAATGGGTAGTCTTGATGATGGGTGGTGATGGTAGCAGTGACCATGATGGTAATGAATGATGGTTATAGTGGTGGTAACGGTGATGATTATAATGCTGAAAGCAGCTGATATGTTCAGCTCATTATATAGCAGATAGGGAGCTAGCCTACATATATACTATTGCATTCAAGCTTAGTGAAGCAAGCCTTTTTGTATTCTTTAGCTGTAGAACAAAATGTGCTATAGTGCATATTGTACCTATGACATAAAGACGGACCTGGATCTAATAAGAACCAAAGTGCTGGGGCTGGAGAGATGGCTCAGTGGTTAAGAGCGCTGGCTGTTCTGCCAGAGGACCTGGGTTCAATCCTCAGCACCACATGGCAGCTCTCAACTGTCTGTAACTCCAGTTCCAGGGCATCTGACACCTTCACATAGACATACATGCAGGCAGAACACCAATGTACATAAAATAAAAATAAATTTAAAAAAAGTACTAACTTAAGGATCAGGCATTATATACTGCTAGCTAACTTAGATCTACTACCTTTGAAAATTCAGTCTAAAGGACACTTTTTTTGGTGGGGGTGTCTTCCCTAGGCTCAGGTCCCTTTCTTAGCTGTTACTACATTTACTAACACTACATAGCCCCAGTTGGTAGAAAACTTGCCTGACATGCACAAGGCCTTGGTACTGGGGAGTGGAGGAAAGAAATAAAAAAGAAAACAATAAAATTTTACTACAGAGAAATACAGTTTTATTTGTGTATTTATAAGATGACTTTTGATAGCCAGCCTAAAACTCATGACTGTTGTGTGTGTTGGGAACAGCACCTAGTGTCTCAAATGTCAGTAAGCCTTCTAAAACTGAGCCCACAATTTTAGTTTCTTTTATAAGGTGATAATTTATGGGGATTTTTGTTGTTGGTTTATTCTGTTTTTATTTGAAAGTAACTGCTTTTCTGTTGTTTCTAACATTTTATTACTATTGTAATTACCCAGGAGCACAGAAAGTTGATTCCAGTAGCTACAAAAATAAAAAAAATCTGTGTTCCAAATGAAATAGTACTTCTTTTGAGCCCATATGCCCAACTGCAAAATTTTATATAGAGAGGGTATACTTTCAGACTGTAAAACTCCTTCAGCTGAAAAACTCAGTATATTCATGTTTTCATACTTGACATTAAGGTTTTTTTTTCCTTGCACAAAATGGAAAACTAAAGTTGTGTGAGGAAAATAAAATTTACCATATTGCTAGTCTGTTTTCTTGCCTTGTTCCAATGAGTTTTTAGAGTGAGTGATTTTCTGGAATAAGCTGTGCTGCTGAGCACAGGTTTTCTTTTTTGTTTGTTGTTTATTTACTTATTTATTTTTATGTGTGAGGGTGTGTGTTGCCTGTATTATATCTCTGTACCACATGCATGCCTTGTGCCTGTTGAGGCGAGAAGAGGAGGGGGTCAGATTCCCTGAAACTGGAATTACAGAGAGTGGTAAACTGCCGTGTCAATGTTGAAATTTAAACCCAAATCCTCTGAAAGTTCATCTAGTGCTCTTAACTATTGAAACATCTCTCTAGTTCCCTAGCACAGGTTTTCTGAGTGTTCGTTTTGTAAAATCTTTAGCATTAAGATAATCCTAGGGCTGGACAGATAAGCTCAGTGGTTAAGAACACTTGGTAGTACCAAGGTGGAGCACACGACTTTAATCCCAGCACTTGGGAGACTGAAGCAGGTGGATCTCTGAGTTTGAGGACAGCCAGGGCTACACAGAGAAAACCCTGTCTTACGAAGGACTGGAGTTCTATTCCCAACACCCAAGTTGGATGATTCATAGCTGCCTACAACCCCAGCTCCAGGGGAACCAACACCCTCTTCTGACCTCTGAGGCATCTGCATTTACCCCACACATGTGCAAAACATATATATAGCCACACATATAACAATATGATTTTTAAAGATACTATCCAATTTTACTAGACTTAAATTTATAGAAGATTTTGTTTAATAGTAAATGTAATATAGTAATACTTAGAATGCTCACTTGGTCTGTTTTATTTAAATAGGTAATTTGTGAAAGAAGCAAAAGCAAATCTGTAGAGCTGAAAGAAAGGATTAGAGAATACTTAATGGGTGAGTTGTATACTCAATGCCTGGCATGAAAGGCCCTTTGCAAGAGACCCCTGGATAAGAGTGTGAGCAGACCTGGGGCAGCACAGCAGAGGTTTATCGCTTCCCCAGGTTCTGAAAAAAACTGTGCTAAGAACTCCCCTCGAAGTTCATAAAATTGTGCTATGAACTTAAATTATCCATTATTTTTCCTGAATACTACACCTCCTTTCCTGATTTCATACTACCCATTCTTGTTTTAATTTTAGAGTGTCTTTTACGTGATTGCTGTTCAGGGACTTACTCCATCTCTGAGGCCAGTTTCCTGATAACTTCCTACTAGAGAGGGCTAAAGCCCCAGAGCGCCTTGTTTGAGTGGTTATTTGGCTTTTGTTTTTTGGTTTGTTTCCAAGATGTTGTATTTTGGGTCTGCCTTCCTCTTCTGCTCCTCTGAGGCTGTCTAGCTCAGCTTAGTCTTTCAAACTGGGACCCCATAAGAGGCATTATCCTACTAGATTGTGGAGATATGTTCTTTCATACTCATTCTCTCTCCTTCATTCCATCTCTTCCTCTCCTATTCCCTCCTCTATCCCATCTCCTCCCCACTTTCCCCTATGACCCTCTTTCTTTTCCTCTCTCCATCTGTTATAGAGTATTCACCAGAGAAAACTACTTTGAGATATGTTTAAGCCAAAAGAAAATATTAGCCTGCCAGCAGCTTCACTGGGTGTTCAGGATCCCAGTGTAGCCCCAAGTCTTTCTCAGGGTGAGCTTTTAAGCACAAAAAAACCATATCTTTGGTTGATATATTTCAGTTAGCCAGTACAGTTAGCCTGAAGAACTACAGAAGCCAAAAAATCAAGGTTAGTATATTTAGAGACTTCCCCAGCACTATGGTATTGGATGGATTGGGCTTTGTTTTCATATTGGCAGGTGGTGCTGTCTATGTTCTGAGTTTTATGGCCTGGTACTTCCCTCAGTTGTGCTAAGGTCTGGAGGCTGTTACACTTCTCTCCTTTCCTTTCTTCTGGTCTGTGGGTTTCAGCTATGGAGAAATGGTTAGTCTCAGAAGGGACTTTCCTAGTGTTGTTTTCAGTGCATCTCAGAAGATGTATTAGTACTTTTCCCTCTGTCTCTACACAGTTTGTTGTTTCTGCTGAGTAAAATTGGAGTTCTCTGGCCTCTGTTTTGCCTTCTTTTCCTTCTAAGCTGAATATACTCATGGCTATGGTCTGGCACAGTGTCTCTGGGTATTTTCTCAGGTCAGATATTTTGTAGAAATGGGTACTAACTTCCAATTTAAGATTATCTGGCTTCTTAATTATACTCTAATCTCTTCCAGTCCTTTCTGCTAATGCACCCATGAATCCCAGTGTGTGGTGGAGGTGGCAGAGATGTCTCTTGGGCTATCTGGCATTTGTTGGACACTCCAGTTATATTACAGAACACAATTAAACTAAACTGCCTGAAATACCTTAATATGCAATTGGTTACTTTGTGGTGGAACTTTTAATTGTGCTCATATTACTTGATCACTGCTAAGATCTGGTCACGTAGCTTTTTTCTGGGGTACACACGGTACTTCTACATCCATGTTCCTTGTTGAAACTTAGCCTTGTGGAGTTTTGCACACTTCCCTGTTTCCTGCTGAGAGTCATTAAAACTCAGGCAAGAGCTTCAATGTTCATCTTGCAACAGCTTTCACATTCTAGACTTAATGCTTCAGGGAGCATATTGCAGAAGTGATACATTGCTGCATGCTGCTCTATCATCCACAAGAAACCCAAACTTGCATAGATAGAGGGAGAAAACACAACATTTTGAGGAAATGAACAGGATCAAAAAGCTAGACACAAGACCACTGAGGACATGAATCTAGCTTTGTTGACACAGTGTTGTGTTGTCCTCCAAAGTGCTGGGGATTGAACTCAGGGCCTCGAGCATCATGCCGGATACCTCTACTTCTGATATATTTCACAGCCCTTTATATATAAACTTTAACATCTTTCAGTGGTAAAGTATATTCCTGGAACATTTTAGTATACAAAGCCCTAGGTTCCATCCTCACTGTGTGCGCATGCTCTCTCTCACTGTGTGTGTGTGTATGTGTGTCTGTCTGTCTCTCTTTCTCCAAAATTTTAAAGGACTTAAATATTCAAAAGAAAAGTAAACAGTATTTTATGAATACATAGGTTTTACCTGACTTTGGTTGTATACTTTCCAAAAGACAGCCATTATTTCAAAATCCGTGAAATGATGAAATGGGGAGGTGATAGAAATCTTCGTTTACAAAAATCTCATAGGTATGTATATCAGTCACGGTCTCAGATACTGAAATGTTAAATACATTTCCCTGGTTGATTTCTTTGTTTTGAGACAGGGTCACACTATATAGTCCTGGCTGACCTAGAACTCTCTGTAGACCAGGCTGGCCTCAAACTCAGAGAAAATGGCCTGGCTCTGCCTCCGGAGTGCTGGGATTAAAGGCATGCACCACCGTGCCCAACCATTTTTCTATTTAAAAAAAAAATTTATTGTACATGCATAAATGTTTTGTGTACATATATGTATGTGCATGTGGTGTGCATACATACAGTTGAGGTGTATATGTGTTTATGTGTGTGTGAAAGAGTGTGTAAGAAAGAGTATGTAAGAAAGAAAATGTGTGTGTGTTTGTGTGTATAAGAGAGATGATGGGGGTCTTTGGATTATATTAGGAGAAATAAAAAGGTAGTTTGGCTCCAGAACTTTTAACTTTTAACTTTTAACTTTTAACTTTTAAAGTAATATTGCCTAGAAGTAGTAACACATTGGACATGGTGCCTTCTAGATTTTAAGTTTTGGTGAAATAACATTGGGAAATCATTGAACAAAACAGGAAATTGCAAATTGAGTAGAGGCAATATGGGATAGCTCTGAATCTTATTGACTTGTTTGGTCATAGTTCATCTCTTTACAAACATACTATTGACAGCTCATGTAGATATAAAAACTTCAATACCATAAGTATGCATCTTTATTAGTAATTGCAAGGCCTTGTCAGGTATGTCATTGTCTCCATTGTGCAAACAAGGCTCAGGGGAAAAAACTTCTTTAGTAAAGAATGGAGATGAGGCTCACTTAGTTGCTGGCACAACTGAGGGACCAATTGCTTGGTATCTTCTGTTACTGTTTTCGTTGATGTTCTCCCAGACTCTGACTCAGACTAGATAAGTAGAAGCCTGTACTGACATTTATATCCTCTTCAGGTCACTACTATGTGCCACTTCTGAGAGCAGAAGATACTTCTTCTCCTGTCATTGGGGAGCTATGGTCCTCAGACAAGAGAGCTGAAGCCTCTAATGCTGACCACTGTCGAAGTAGCCCCAGAGATCCTGTGATGACACTGAGAGCTTTTGTGGGACCTCTGAGTCCATCCAAGGTGAGAGGCCAGTCAGGAGGTCCTGGCTCTCCTGACTATGTCTACATTTTAGGGTTCGGTGCTCCAACTTGTTCTCATGGAAGCCTAAGGTCGTCTTTATCTGAGACCACCTCTGATGAAGTAGTAATGAGGCCTTGAAGTGTTTTGTTGTTGATGTGGCCAGGGAAGGTGTATTGGAAGCCCAGACCTCCCAAAACAGTAATGTTTTCCTGGGCAAGGAATGTTTCCTTTTTGTTCCCTACCAGTCCATTGTGATTTAGACAGCTCCATATTTGCAAATTCAAATTCCAGACTGAGCTTCCAATACTTGAAACTCCTATACCTTCCCTCATGTTCCTGAGTTCCTGTCAGCACCTGTCTCTTTTTGAGGCCACAGCTCTACTCACACACGAGGTGGTCAGGAAGTTTATTATGATGGAGTTCCTGGGTTACAGATTCTACGTGCTTTTATGCCAGATTTATAATTGACAGCTTTCAGCAGTGAAATATCTCACTGATGATCTTAATAAGCTGGTCATGGTTGCACATGCTATAATTTCAGCTTCTTATAGGCTGAGACAAGAATATCACAATTTGAAAGCAAGCTTGGGCTATATAGTGAGATCTTATCACAAAACAACTTTCTAAATAATTTCCGAGAGTGCAAATGTTCAGGCTGGAGAGATAGCTCAGAGGTAAAGAGCACTGGTTACTCTTTCAGAGGTCCTGCCTTCAATTACCAGCAACCACATGGTGGCTCATGACCATCTATAATGAGATCTGGTGCCCTCTTCTGGGCTGTAGGCACATATGCAGGCAGAACACTTAAACAAAAAATAGAAATGTTTCCAAAATGATGTGATAAATTGGGATCAAATGAGCTGCATTATGTGCCTCGTTAGCATAGTAGGTGATACGTCAGTCTGATAATGAGCTACATTAAGCATAAATTTTCAAAAAGGATTATTCATGAGAGATCGGCATCAGCTTTTCTTTCGTATGTAAGGGAAAATGGGAGCAGGTAGACAGTACCTGTTCTCCTTAGGTTGAGGCCTCATACTTGGGCCATCCTGGGCCAGATCTGACCCCCAACGTGAGCCAGTAAAGAAAGGCAGCTCTCCCTTATATCACTTTTCTTGAAGAGTTATAAACAAAGATATACCTAGGAAAAATCACACAACCAACTCTACTTTCCCCAGATCCCATGAGGTCTCTTGGCTATATGTAAAAATGACTGTAGAATCTGTAAGGTGATAGAAATCCATTGAATCTGTGGTACTGGTGGATTCTAAGTTTTAGGTGAGCTGCATGAAACAGCCTATCTTGAAACTTTTTCTTGCAGGCAGAAGATTTTCGAAAGCTCTGGAAAACTCCACCTCGAAAAAAAGCAGGCTTCTTCCACAGCATCAGAAAGTCTGACCCAGAACGAGGCACTGAGAGAGTCGGAAGGTATTCATAGGACCATGACCAACAAGCCGCTGAGCAAAGTGTGCTGTGTGGTTGTGGATGGATGATTAAAAAAATATGAGTTATGTATGGTAAAATGTAACAGCTCCCAGAAGGAATTACTGGAAGCTTTTAGAGCCTTTTTTCAATGTGCCCAGTTTGAACCTGCCATAGACCTCTAAAGTTTTATGTACTTAACCAAAGCATGTATTAGGAGACTTTGTGTTGTGACTCTGGGAGGCAACTAGCATATATCATTTTTGTAATTAAAAGAAAACCAAAATAAAATAAAACAAACTAGTAAATTTTAGAGTACACTGGAAAAGAGCTGTGCGATCCAAGATCCTCTGTGAAGTTGGTATGATTGTACACTGAGCTTTTTCCATGAGTGAGAGTCACTTACTATGTTATAGGCTAACTCCTCAAAGAACACTGCAGTCTTTTTTTTTTTTGACACTGCAGTCTTAACCATTAGGAGAGCACTAAAAAATGTCCCAAGTTTGGAGCAAAATTACAGAGTTTTGGCACTTCAAAGATTAAGTGATATTTTCTGTGTAGTCAGGTTTTTGGGTTTTTTGTTTGTTTGTTTTTGTTATTTATTCATTTATTTATTTATTTATTTTTCTGTTTTCTCAACTGGTTAATTGTGTTTTATTTCTTACAGGGAGCTAGCTCATGAGCTGGGTTATCCCTGGGTTGAATACTGGGAATTTCTGGGATGTTTTGTTGATCTGTCTTCCCAGGAAGGCTTGCAAAGACTAGAAGAGTACCTTGTCCAGCAGGAAATAAGCAAAAAGGCTCAACAAGAACTAGGAAAAAATGAAGGCTGCCTTCAGAACAGAGCCTTGAGTTTTGGTAAGCAAGTGTAGGTCTGAGGTGTCTGTAGGTTTCTCTTTTCTTTCTTTATGTGTTTTTACTATAAAAACAGTTCTTTTCTCAAGCTGATGTTAGAAAATGTGTATATAGTTGTGTTAAACAAACAAAATCAAGACATCACAGCAAACTGTGTGTCTGAACACCCATGTGTATATCCAGGTATATGAAATGTGTTATACACATGGAATAGTATATAAAAACTCAGAATCACAACAAGCAAAGTGTATTAAATGAAAACTGTGGTATCCTGGCAAGCGGTCTGGTGCTTTTGGCTTTATTCCTGACCTGTAGATACTTTATACTTGAACATAACTGTGTAATGTCAGAAAAACAGGACAAGAAACACAGGTTTCAGAATACTGGGTACTGTATTTTATCAGCCATTTGTGGTATAGAGTGCCTTGAGTAAAAAGCAAGTTAATTGAAGAAAAGGTTAATTCTGAATGCAAAAAAAAAAAAAAAACAAAAAACATAAAAAACAACTCACCAACACCATTAAAGAAGGTAAAATTAGTGTTATTAGTTAATTGTGTTATAACTTAGTGGTAGAACATGTACTTACCATGAGCAAAGCATAGGTTCAGTCCCAGCACTGGAAGGGGGGGGGGCGGGTATTAAAGTTTTTAATGTAATAAGGAAAAGGGCAAAAATATTCCTAAAGTGAAATGGGAAAAGAAAAACATTCCTTTTGTCTTTCGAGACAGGGTTTATCTGTGTAGACTTGGCTGTCCTGGCCTCGATTTATAGGCCAGGCTGGCCTCGAACTCACAGAGATCCGCCTGCCTCTGCCTCCCCAACTACAGGGATTAAAGGTGTTTGCCACCATGAGTAGCTTGAGAAAACAGTCTTTAAAAGAAGTAAAAACATGTATCTCAGCGGGAATGGTGGCTCCTGCCTGTAATCCCAGCACTTTGGGAGGCAGAAGCCGGTGAATCTCTGTAAGTTTGAGGCCAGCCTGATCTACAGAGTGCTTCCAGGACAGAGAAACCCTGTCTCAAAAAACAAACAAAAATAATATAAAGAGTAAGATTATTCTGTAGAGAGTGAATGGTGTAAACAATTATAATGAAAAATGTAAAAGAATGCAAATAGTTAATGGGGAAGAAAACTGTATGTTAAATATATTTATATAATATTAATTTTCCAAATATTAAGGTGATTATAGCATTAGAGTTGCATTTCACTTGAAAGTTTTCCAGCTGTTTTACAACTAGCATATATCATTTTTGTAATTAAAAAAAAAAACTAAAATGAAACAAACTAGTAAATTTTAGAGTACACTGGAAAAGAGCTGTGAAGCTGTGAGAGATAAGAGCCTTCACTATATATATCCTCCCCCTTCTACTTCTGTTCTTGCAAAACAGAGCACTATCCTCCCTGGAGAAGTGGCTTAGGTTTACTATTGGTCTAGCACCACTTTACCCTTACCTCAGAAAAGCTGTCATCGAATCAGAAATAATACTGAAATGTTAAAGTGAATGAAACTACGGATAGTGAATTTTAGCTGAGTGTATCAGTACCTATAATGTTAACATTTAAGAGGTGGAGAAAGGATCAGAAGTTTTAAAGTCAAGTAGAAACTTTATAATAATTAGAGCTTTGGGTCCCCCAAGATAGACGTTAACATAAATGTAATTTAAAACTTTATAAATTAAAATTGAACTATTGACCTATATTTACTTTGCAAATTAAATTTCCTGGAACAATGTGGAGAAGGAGGGGAAATATGACATACACCATTAAAAAAGAAACAAACTGGTTCCTTGAGATGGCATACCAGATAGAGACAGTTGCCAAAGGAGCCTGGTGACCCATATTATGTACATGTACATATACATACATAATACTAAATAAAAGTCTAAGAAACAACCTTAAATATGGAGAATAATGCTTGAATGAAGGCTGTGCACATGGACCGTAGAAAAAGCTGCACCAGGCTGGGAGTCAGTGCCAGAATGTATCTTTTTATACTCTGAACCTATGGTTTTATGAGACTGTAAGCACTGAGTTAATGTTAAAGAGTCTCATGCATGCAACTACAGTGTTACTCTCAAGTGGTTGGTGTATTTCATTTGCAGAGTAGAGACATGAAGCAGTTTTCATGGGCTTCTACATAGTCTTTCTAGAGCCTTTTCAAGCCAGTTTGTGGGAAACTGGCCACAGCGCCCTTTTCTTAAAACCTAACCTGTTTTGAAGTAGTCATTTCGTGCTTGAGTTGTAGGGTTTATGTTGCTTGAAGGCTCCTTCCAGTTCCATCCTGCACATTAATATGCTGCTTGTTTCCCTCACAGGCAGTGGAAAGAAGTACAGCAATTCCATCTCTGTGGGAGCATTTCTAGATGGAGATGACGACATTAGCTTGGAAGAGATTAAAGACCAGCAAAATACAGTTCCGAGTCAGAGTCAGCCCACAATCGATAAATCCCAAACCTCTGAATGTGGTTCCTTTTCCTTGGGACACAAGGTGGACCCTGGAGAAGCCTCAGTTGGATCTTGCCCCCATAACAGCAAAAATGGGTTTTGTAACCCTCTGAACAACAGGACCACAGGTGGAAGGGAACTAGAGGCCAGCAGTGGAGAGGAAACCCTTCCTGTTTCTAGTCTGACTCTAGAGTTTGATAAAATGAATTTGTACAGTCTAGGAGACAGCCTTTTTGAGACACCAAATAAAAATAGGAAACTACAGGATGAGATACTAGCTTCAAGAAAGGATGTGGTAGGAAGTGACTTGCTGGCATCTCCTCCTGTGGTAGCGAGACTTGAAAATAACCAAGTCAGGACCAACAGTGAGGTATCAGAGGCAATGGCTGAAATGTCTTTGGGCCCCAGCAGTCCCCAACTTGGGATTCAGGCTGGTCTGGAACCTGTGTTCTCATCTACCAAGGGAGATTCCACCAAGAGGCTCTTCCTTTCTGGGTAAGTTAAAGATCCTTGTAGTACTGTAATGAGTGTGTAGTTTTGAAAATCCCTGGGGTCTTCTATATGGACTGTGCTAATCCAGTGTCAATAATGATGTACCAGCAGAATGATTTAATCCATCCCATAACTGCTATCTTAAAGAGGTCTTTAAACTCTCCTACAGTACTTACTTGGCCAACCCTGGCCCTGCATATCACGTTGCCATTTCTAGCCTAAGCTTTCTGAAACACAGGTGATTTGGTGGTTTATATGCTCAGCCCAGATTCTTTTTTTGTTTGTTTGTTTTAGTTTTTTTGAGGCAGGGTTTCTCTGTGTAGCCTTGGCAGTCCTGGACTTGCTTTGTAGACCAGGCTGGCCTCAGACTCACCGAGATCTGCCTCTGCACCCAGAGTCCTGGGATCCCAGGCGAGTGCCACCATGCCCAGCTCACTTATTTTATTTTGTGCATGTAAGCCTTCCAACATGCATACTAAGAGCCAAACTTCAGTCCTCTGTAAGACCAGCAAGGACCCTTTAACTGCTAGATTGGTTCTTGAGTTAAAACATACAATAAGACCTTAAAAGTCTTTGTTTTTATTTAGTGTTTCTGCTTTTTCTTATATCTTTTCTGTTCTGCATTCTAGAGAAGAGCCATCAAAACTAGATCGAGATGTTTTAGCAGCTCTTGAGTATGCGAATATTGACCCTGATCTGTACCCAGCTGTCCACAGGTGGAAAAGAACTGTCCTGTGCTACTCACCCTCAGACAGACAGAGGTACGGTCAGAACATTAGAGTGCAGAGACTGACAGGGTTATCACGCATGGGTGACTTTCTCATAGTCACAAAACTAAACTGTGCAGTTCCTCATTGCAAGCCTGGCCTGTGTTCCATGTAGTTGTTATCACAATGGCAGTTATCTAGTGAGTGGAAAAGTAGGCCAGGCTTGCTCCTCGCACACCCCACCAGGGCTGGCAGTATAGCTGGAGCAACATGGGTGTTGTATGTAAAGTCTTTAGATTTGTGATATAGAAGTATTTCCTCTCTGTAAAATAGGTGTCATGCCCATGTATCTGTTCTGTTCTTAAATCTATACTCTATAGATATGCCTTTCTGTGGTAACAAATCTCTCTTTGGTTTGTGTAGTTGGCCAAGTCCTGCACTGAAAGGGAAGTTCACAACTGAGCTGTTGGATCTTGGTTGCTGCTCAGGACGATGCAGTCCAGCTGGTTGCAGCCCCAGTAAGCTTGGCCACACCACTTCCTCCTCTGGCCTGCACAGCCCCGGACGCTACAGTCCAGCCCATGGGAGCCACTTTCAAAGGGTGGCACACGTGGCCCGACTTGCAGCTCTGTAGAGCCAGCCAGTATACTCACTCCTGGGGTTCATTTACTTCTTTGTTTTTAAAAGAAGGGTAATGTGTTTATTGGTAAAAATTCCATGAAAGAATGTATTCTTAATCCTCACTTTGAGGGTACCAGAATTTTAGAAAATACAATGTTCTGAATATAATTTCAATGTCTGCTATTTTGGAAAAAGTTAATGAAAGCAAACTCAGATACAAGTTGTTTGAAAATTGCGGCTGTAGTAATGATTCACACTTTTCAAATGGAAAAGTCTAGTTTTGGAATGGAACAAAGATGCAGAGGCAGCTGATAGACAAGTGAGGCATTGCTCTAATTGGGCATTAGCAGCAGCTCTGTAATGCCTGCATGCACACCCACTGTTCCTATAACACATACACTGTGTGTTGTCTCTTTCTTTTGGGAGTAGAGGGGGGCAGCTTTCTAATATGCAATGGCAAAAATGTGTTACTTCGTCCTAACTGTTCCAACAGTGAGAAAGCAGGTGGTAGAGAAGCAAATGGGCCTTGGTTATCTCAGTCTTCAGTAACAATGCTCATAACACTGCCAGAAATTTGAAGGGAAAAAAAAAAAAACTTGGATGGCAAAGTTAAAGCCATTGGGAATCATGCCAGTAATTGAAAACTCACCAGCAGTAACAAACAAACAAAAACATATTTTTCAGTATTTCCATGTGCTTTTACTTAGTTGTTGGTGTAATAAGTAATCTAAAGGTTGTTCTGCAGTCTTAAATGTTATCCTGAGACTTCACTGAGCATGACTACATGTGTGAATCTCATTTTAGAATTCATTTAAAGAGCATTACACTACAGTTTAGAACTCGAGATTTTGAGTTCATTTCAGTTGCTTACGATGTTTACTTTCGCCTACCCCTTGGCACTAGCCTCAAAAGATGTATACAAAGTGGTACGAAACATCTTGAGGTACCAAGATAAAACTACCTTGCTGAAAGTGAGACTTGGATAACCACTGCTTGCACAAAGCCAGTAGTGTTCTATGGACACTTGTAGTGCTTAATCCCAATGAAAAACTATATGCCACTGATTTTGCCAACTTCGGTGCCTTTTGTGAGTCATTTTTAATTTTCCTAAATTTAGATTTTTGAGATTTCACAATTGTAAATGAGTGCTAGATTCTCTTTTGTTCATTAAAATTTCAGTCACGAGTGGTGGCACAGCCTTTAATCCTAGCACTTTGGAGGCAGGAGCAGGGGGATTCGTGAGTTTGAGGTCAGCCTGGTCTACACAGTGAGCCCTATGCCAGCCAAAACTACATAGACCTGTCTCAAAAAGCCAAAATAATAATAATAAGATAAAAATCCTGGAATTCAAATGTTTAGGGTTTAAGCTTATTTTAATGCAATAAAAAATAGGTCAGAAATATTAAAATTGAGATTGAGAACTTTGGATTCAAAGTTTATTATCTGGAGTGTTTCATTCCCTGTGTAAGCAGATGAGATCAAAGTACAAGACAGCTAATATAGTGACCTAAAATCAATTCCAAAGAGATTATCTTTGTTCTCAAAAGAAACCAAAATCATTATATTCAGCTGTGATCTTGTTTTCTCTAAAGTCTTACCATTTTGTCCTGTGTTTTTGTTGTTTTGTGGGTTTTTTTGTTTTTTTTTTTTTCTCGGGGGGGTATCCATATGCAAATAAAAATATCAAAGCACTAGCTTTGCCCTAGCTTCACACTTTTGTTTTTTTAATCTTATTTTTTAATGACATTTAAGGAAACTTTTGGGAGTCAATTCTTATACCATGTAGATCTCAGGGATCCAACTCAGGTCATTGGACTTGACAGTTTTACCTACTGAGCCATCTTGCTAGCTCATTTTAAACTTTAAGCCATCTTTGGACTATTTTTCCACTAGTTATGAAGGGTATGATACCTGTTAGTAACACCTGGTGATTCTATGTCATAAACCCTATTTAATAAATCATTTCTACACAGTGCTTTCAGAAAGATCACTTAATTGTTATCTGGACAGAATCCTCTTTTAGTAAAACTGTAAGCAGTATTCATGGTAAAATACATTAATTTGAGGATAATATTGATGTTTGTGAGATTTTTTTTAAATTTATCATGTATACAGTGTTCTGCCTGCATGTACAATTGCTCACCAGAAGAGGGCACCAGCTCTCCTAGATGGTTGTGAGCCACAATGTGGTTGCTGGTAATTGAACTCTGGACCTTTGGAAGAATAGCTAGTGCTCTTACTATCTTGCCTGGATGGGACAACAAGTAAACTGGATAAGTTTACTTGTTGGATTCTGGCTTATTCTAACACAGTTGATATCATTTGATTATATGGCAATATAACACCTCTTTTTTTATTAACAACCATTAGTTGTTAATGTGTGGTAGGGGTGTATAAGGCATCCTTACTGCAGTGATATGGTCTAGATGAACTTTGTAACTGAGAGAACAAAAGTCCCCAGTGTTCATTTCTAGAGAACAGTGCACAATGTTGTTGAAAGTAAGTGCTTGCTGCACTGTGGCAGGAGCCAACACCAGATACTATTGACCAGTTGATCTTTACCGCTTTCAGAGGAAATGAATGGTTAAGACTTTTGTCTTCCTGAGTTGGGCTTTGCTTGCTGGGCTATTGACACACACTTGCTATGTCAAGACCCTGTCATTTTCTGGCTTTAAAATTAGATTAGCATTTTTCACTTGTCTCATAAAAAAAAATCATTGGAATAGAACAGAACATAATAGTCAAGAAGAATCTACCACCTAGTGGCATACCATTCTTACCACTTTCATTCAGATTCCCTCAAGTTACACAAGTGTATAATGTTTGTTTTGGCAAGACTTAACAATATTGTTACCAGGGTTTCAGAAGTCTTTACACACTGGATATGGTTTCAATATCCAGCACCACAAAACAAAACATTTTCCATCACAATGTTATTGAGCCTCTAAGAGACCCTGGCCAGATGCCTCCCTAATATGGTGGGCACTCACTTCTGCCCAAGTATTCACAGCATGTGTAGGTATAGACCATAAGAAAACTAATGCTGGGCGTGGTGACACATGCCTGTAATCCCACCACTCTGGGAGGCAGAGGCAGGCCAATTACTGTCTGGTCTTTGGCCAAGGTTACACAGAGCGAAGCCCTGTCTCAAGAAAAGAAAAAAACAAACAAACAAACAAACAAAAAAACCCTAAAAATTGCAAGGAGTTTCATATTTAAGAAAACAGGTTATGCCCAGAACTTACTTAGCTCTTAAACTGAGCCAAATGCTCCATTCTGGTCATAACTTTGAAAACCGATTGGCTTCAAATCTAACAATTAGTACAGTTATTTTGGGGGTTGTGTTATATTTTATTCCAGTATTTTCCTGAGGCAAATGAGATATAATGTCTGCATGTACAACTGCATGCCTGAAGAGGGCACCAGATCTCATTATAGATGGTTGGGAGCCACCATGTGGTTGCTAGGAACTGAACTCAGGACCTCTGGAAGAGCAGTCAGTGCTCTTAACCTCTCGGCCATCTCTCCAGCCTCCAACAGTATAATTTTAAAATCAGAAAATTAGATTTTGACATAGCGTTGTGTATATCAACAGCCTGGCAAGAAAGGTCTACCCAGGAGCATTTGAAACCTATTGGATCAATTTTGATATAACAAGTGTGGAACATTTTTTTGAAATCTTATCACTGGTATCCTGACCAACCAAACTTCTGCAGGCCCTGCTCTAGCTTGTCCCTACTGTTCGTATGTCTTATGTCATTCTCAGCTGCCACTATGTGAGTTTTTTAACTGGTAGTGGAATCTGAAGGGATAGGAGAACTGACTAGGGGATCAAGCTGTCAGCCTGCAAAGATCATTGCTGTTACAAGTGATTACTATGCCTTGCAGATGACCATTAGCCCCCAAGAAAGATAATTCATTTCACATACAAGGAGCTAGCCTCACCCCAAAGCTAAAGCTTGTTCCTAAAATACTGCCATTCGATAGGGGGCTGCCATGGAGGCTGTACCACCTGGGGATTCCCTAACCCCTAACCCTGAGCAAGTCACTGTGTTCTGTGAAATGCTTTTACCTTCCCATGAGGTCAGATGAGGAACCTTGAGTTGTGTTTAGAAGCTGACAGCCTGCCCTGCCTGCTTCAACTATTTCTAGAAAATTATCTCCACCTTTGCAAGCTTACTGTTGGACAGAAAGCAGTGTGCCTTCTGGCTTGTGGGAGGTAGTCTTCCAAGCAGGGTAGCTGGGATCAAGCCTGGGATAGAAACACTGACAAAGGGCTTCCAATTGTACTTTCTCTTCTTAAAAGAAACAAACAATTAACAAAAAAGTAAAACTTTATTACATACTCATTTCCAGAAAGGACAGAGAGATGGGTCAGATATTCCAAATCATTGTACTGATTACAGAAAATGCTCACAACCACTTCGCAGAAACTGTACTGTGGTTTTGTTTGTTTTTTGGCCAGGTGTGCTAGTGTATATGTGCAATCTCAACATTCACAAGCCTGAGAAGGGTCTCAAGCTTGAGGCCAGCCTAGGCAACAGTTAAGATTCTGTCTCAAAAAACAAACAACAACAACAACAAAAAAACAAACCAAAAAAAAAAAAAAAAAAAAACACATACACACAAACCAGTTTTTTCATAAATTATCAGAATATCTGGAATAAACACATCATTTCTAAATAACCTACAAGCCCAAAGGTTAACAGAAGCCAGTTGCAACCTAAGATGAAACTGTCGGTCTGGAATATTTTTCTGAGTCTTCCTACGTAGCTCAGGCTGGCTAGAAACTCATGATCCTGCCTTTGCCTCCCACATGCTAGAATTACAAGCATACGCCACCTCCTCTGGTCAGTCAGTGGGGGCTGTTTCATTACCTCCAAAGAACCTCTCACAGGGCTGTCACCTACTTGCCATATACAAGCCACAGCCTTTTTGTAATTCTACTTCATTCATGGCTTATATCTACCTTATAAGAAGCCAGTCCCTTTACCCTTCAATTCATTTAGCTGCAATAGACACAGGAGCTCTTAACTGAGCTGACAAGTTGGTTTTCAAAGCAAGAACCACATGAGGAAAATCTTTGATAAATACTTCAGCAACAAAAGTTCCTAGATTGGAGTATATGAAATTATCAGTTGTAAACAACCACCATAGTACCTGACAGGTTTTGTGCCAGAGGTTATGGGTTGTTCAGTCAATCTGCTGTAACCACCTGATACAGCACAGCCAGTCTTCTGTCTGAGAAAGTTCCTGTCACACCTCATAGGGCTGTGCTAGTGTAGTAATGCTAAAGTAGAAAGCTTTCAAAAGGCCATCTAGCCCATACGTTGCCTTCTTCAGCCTGGGCCAGAAATAAGCACCCAAATGTGACATTTGAGATATCCTCTTCCTGGAGACAACATGAAGCCACAGCACAGCCTGGACAGGGAAGACAAGGAAGGGAAGGCTGCAACCAGGCCACCAGCAGAGGAGAGGGTGCAGTTTTACAGGCAGCCTCAGGACCGCGTAATCTTGTCTGGGGGCATGAACCCTGTGTCCCCAAGGGTCCTGAGTGCAACACGACCGTTGGGTCGGATCACCAGGTGGGTGATACTTCCGTTGTTGAGGGACAGGCGGAGCCAACCTTCCGGGGGAAACTGCAGTGCTCTGGGGAGAGAAAGATAATGCTGGCAGAAAGCTCAGGCTGGTACAGAGCTGCTTTGCTCAGGGGCAGAAGCTGAGGTCAGGCAAGGCTGACAGCCTTTTGGAGTAGATACATTTAACTGAGGTGCTCCTGTCTTCAGAAAAAGGATATGCAGGAGGAAGGTCTCAATGGTCCTCTAAGTAAGGGATCCAACATGTGGAGACAAGGCCTCAACTAAGTCAGAAATGTTCTCAGGGCTAGTAATATCAAGACATTTACTGTTTTCCACTATAACAAGAAGCATCAAAATTTTTGCTAGAAGTATTTCTGACAGGATGTGGCTGGCCTCCCAGAATAGAGGTGTATAAATCATGACTTCTGCAGTATTTCCATGCACTTGCGCGAGCTCATTCTCACTTTCACTCTCCCTAGTTTTATTTTGTTCTGTTTTTGAGACAGGGTTTCTCTGTGTAGTCTTGGCTGTCCTGGAACTCACTCTGTGGACCAGGCTAGCTTTGAACTCAAGGGATCTGCCTACCACTACCTCTGCCTCCCCAGTGCTGGGCCTTCCATGCTATTTAAGAGTACAGAATTGGGGCTCTTCTAAAGAACCAGAATTCAATTCTCAGCACTTACGTTGGGTAGCTCACAACCTCTCATACCTCCAGCTCCAGGGAATCCTTTTTTTTCTGGCCCCTGAGAGCACCTACATGATACATACACGAGTATTAACTGAACAGTTGGTGTCTTTCATTGTCTAATAATTGACTGTATTTTATCCTCAGAAACTGGCCCAAGTTAAGTTCTGCCACTTAGCTTACCAACACCTATGACATTTCCTGCTGCTAGGTTTATCAGTTTTAACGCGTAAATACTGTAAAAGCCTTGTGATATGTCCTGGCTAATATTGAAAAGGGAACATATTTGCTTCCCACACACACTTTTTTCTTTTTTTAAGTTTTTATGTAGCTCAGGCTGGCTCAAATTCACTAAATAGTAATAACATGACTTTGAATTTCTGATCCTCCTGCCTCTACCTCCTAAGTGCTGGGATGATAGGCATGCACTACTACGCTGTGCTGCTGGAGACAAACCCAAGTCTTTGTACAGGCCTGGCAAGCACTCAACCAGTGGAGATACATCTCCAGTCTGTTGGAACAGGGTGCTGTTGTAGACTGCTTCTTAGAAAAACTTTTGGATCCTCAGGGGGCTACACAGCTATTCACATAAACAGGTTTCATTTGTTATTTTATTGGAGACAGTCATACTGTGCATCCTCTGGCTCAACTTGAAGTTGCTATATAGAAGAGGCTGGCCTAGAACTCACAGAAATCCACCTGCCTCTGCCTTCTAAATGCTGGGATTAAAGTATGTGCCAGTACACCCAGATCATAAGTGGGTGTTACTTTATATACGATACCACTTTATTTTGTTTTGTTGAGACAGGGTCTCAAAATATAACCCTGACTAGCCTGGAACTCAGATCTGCCTGCCTCTGCTTCCTGAATGCTGAGATTTAAGGTATATGCCACCACATCTGGCATAAACTATATTTTTAAAGAATAAAGTGGGGCTGGAGAGATGGCTCAGAGGTTAAGAGCACTGTCTGTTCTTCCAAAGGTCCTGAGTTCAATTCCCAGCAACCACATGGTGGCTCACAACCATCTATAATGAAATCTGATGTCCTCTTCTGTTGTGCAGGCAGAATACTGTATAAATAATAAATAAATAAATCTTAAAAAAAAAAAAAAAAAAAGAATAAAGTGAGCCTATGAGACGGCTCAACTGGGTTTGTAAAGGCCCTTGCTATGCAAGCCTAGCAAGTGCAGTTCAGTCCCAGGAATCCACATAAAGTTAGAAGGAGAGAAGTGACTCCATAAAATTGTCCTTGCCCTCCACACAAGCTCTATGGCACACATAATAACTATTTTTTAAAATGAAACAAAATCTTTGTTCCTTGGTACTGAGGATCAAACCCAGGCTCCTGTACATTGCCAGACAGGCTATTTATCACTAAGCCACATCCCAGCCCAAGATGACTATGTGGGCTCAGTCCTACCCTTCACAACCCCAGATGCTCACTCCTGAATAGGACTAAAAACTACCTGCTTTTCCTCACAGAGAAAGTATTCTTCCCAAGCTCATAATTACTTCTTTCTGCATTTTCAACAGTCATCAGAGACTATTATAGAATATAAGATAATGAGGTACAAAATAGACAGGGCATTTCCTGGATTGTTCACATGTTAAGAGGAATACATGGGGTGGATCGTGACAAGCAGTTGAAACATCCATCATTTTAGAAGCACTTGCTCTTATTGGAGAACATGAACTCTACTACCAGTTCTCAGTAATATGGAGCTCCAAGAGCCCAGTAGGGATTCCCAGCTCCCCAACAACCTTGTATTTTCTTGAGACTGATGCTCACCTAACTGACTATGAGGTTCCCTAGTTATCCCTGGGCCTCTGAGGGGCATGGGTGACAGTCTAAGAACAGAAAACAGGCTACTATGCTGGCACCCATGGAAAAGTGGCTAAAACAAGGATATACAAGGAAACAGCATGAGCCTGGAACATTCTGTTGTACAGAAAGTAAAGAAAAATTCAAAACACAAAGCAGACTGAGCAACAAACCAGGAATCACAAGTCATGATGTACAAGATGTCCAATCACATGTACAGGACTAGCAGATAAGTATCATATTTCCCGAGGTGCCCACACTGCTCACAAACACACAAACATGGAGAAAGAATGTGCTTTAATAGAAGTACTGGTACCAAGAGGATGACAGAAAGAAAATCTCAGAGCAGGTCCAGTGTTGACTGCTACAGCAGCATAGACCAACAGGCAGTTGGAACAAGTATGTGAAAAAAACATGACTGGCCAGATGGTGGTGGCAGTGGTGCACGCCTTTAATCCCCAGCACTTAGGAGGCAAAGGCAGGTGATCTCTTAAGTTTAAAGCCAGCCTGGTCTAAAGAGTGAGTTCCAGGACAGGCAAGGTTACACAGAGAAACCCTGTCTAGAAAACCCAAACAAACAAAACCACGGGACTTTGAGTGGTCCTTAGACATTCACCAGTATAAAGTAATGGAGACCAGAACACAGCTTGTTGAGCATATACACTGTCATGGCCAGTTTCACTGGGGACCTATCACTGATACAGCAGAGGAAGGCAGAACAGAAAAATATTCTATAGACAACTGATGAGATTTCGCCAGTATTACCCTCTGAGTCAAGACCAAGGAAGCTCCCAAGGCTGAAGAAACCAAGGCCAGGAAGGATGGTGGCAGAGAAACTGGGTGCTGACACAGTGAACTAGACATAGGAGTTTTTGATTGCACTTACCTACAAACAATATAGCGGATGACATTGGCATGGCATATGAAGATCTCATAGCTGTCCTCCTCCTGTTTGGCATCAGCTCGGTGGATATAGTTCCTGAAGGCAGCTTCAATCCGGGCTCCATCTTCATAGTACTGCTAGGAACAGAGCAAGGAGTTGTCAGTGTGCAAGCAGACAAGGCTGAGGGCAACCCTTGCCCTAATCCAGTGGCACAAGGGATGGCATTTTTACCACAGCCTCTGGCTTCCAGTGAGAGACAGGTGGATCTGGTTCAATAGGGGCACCTTCGCGTAGTAAGTCTGTGCTGACTCTGGAGACACCTGGAAGAGAGTAGACTTTTTCAGCAATGTATCCTAAGAGTGAATCTACACTCTCAGCATGGTAAACAACCGGCACTCACCTGGCAGGTGCTTACTGATGATGTCTGTGGTCTCCACTGCACGGGTCATAGAGGAATGGACAATTTTATTAAACTTTAATCCCAGGCTTGCAAGTCGGATCCCCGTGAGTTCAGCCTGTTCTCGACCTTGAAGGAAAAATACTTGCGAATGTCATCCCAGGACCTTCCACTTACTGCAGAAACAGCAAGGTGCCATCAAACACTACTGAAGATGTTATCCTCATAGGCAGAGTCGGGCCTCAGGGAACAAAGAAACAATCAGCTGTCCTCAACCCCAGGGAAAAAAATGCACCTGATTCAATTAGCAATGAGTAAAGCTTGCCAGCAGTGAAATGTGGACCCTTCGCTATTCCTATTTTTACTCAACTATATTGAAAGTCAAGTTACAATGTAACATAGCTCATTGGTAGAATTGTCTAACATTCAAGACCCTAGGTTCAGTTCCTGGGACTCATAGGAAAGACAACAAAATCAAGTCTCAGTATCAGTGGCCCACTGCCTTGTGACAATAGACACAACATGACAACATACAGAAAAACAGAAAAACTGAACTGGGCCTGATGGTGCAGACTTATAATCCCAGGACTCAGAAGGCTAGGCAGGAAGAGTGCCACGAGTTCAAGGCCTGCCTCATAAAACAAAGCACAAACTACAAACTGATTCTCAGAGGACACAAGGAGACACTGGTATTAAATATAGATGCTTTTCCTCAAATGTAATTTAGCTGAAAACATTCCAAAAAAACCATTTTTCTTTTGTTTTGAAAACAATTTCTGCTTGATATGGTAACCTGCGTCACCACAGTGGTGACCTGATTTCTTGCTTGTGCCCAGGGGTCAAAAGCAACAAAGCAACACCTCAGGTTGCTGGAACAATCTGCTGAAAAATAATCCTGGAGACATATTACCATCAAACTTTTGAATGTGTATACATGGAAAATATGCCATCCAAGTTAAGAAATTGTTTAAAATGTAAAGGCATACTACCATGTATTCATGTTCCCACCTACCTGGGAAGCAAAGCAGGGGGGATCATGAATTCAGACCTGCCTAGACTACATAATGAGACTCTGTCTCCATTATCACCATGCTGACAGGGGGTGGAGGGAGGAGAAGAAGGAAGAAGAAAAGGGAGAAGGCCTATATCCCAGGTTCAGCTGATAACTTCACCACCAATCAAGGAGTCATACCTAATGGGGTCAGAGTGCGGTCCTTTTCCAGGGAGCCATCCACATGGTACTGGGAATGCCGGATGAGGAATATATGCCTTGTAGCCTTTGCCTTATAGTGGTCCAGCCTGGATGCCAGCTCTTCTTCTCCAGATTCCACGTTCCTTTTCTTCAGGTTAATGAGAGATACTGGCTCTCGCCTATTTGTGAAAGTATGTCTCGTCTTATGACCTCTCGTCTAAGACACCTTTCAGTTCTTGCGAAAAGGCCAGGGGGAAAGCCAAGTCTAGAGAGGCTAGCCTCATTAAGCATACCTTCACTCTTCACACAAGGGCCGGGCCTACTCTGAGTGACACAAAAGTGGGCATGACAGATAGGTAAAGCGTGAGGTTCGTGCTCTTGGTGAAGATGGACCGAGGAGATGGTTCAGGGGTTAATGTTATAACAAGCAGGAAGCCCGGAGTTCAGAAGCCACATAAATACTGGGTAGGCACAGTGATCCACCTAAAATTCCAGCTTCAGAAGGTGGAGACAGGATTCCCAGAAGATGCTATCTAGTGGCAAGTCCTGGGCTTGACTGAGAGACAGTGCCTTAAAGGATAATCTAGGAGCTTGATCAAGGAAGAATCTCTTGATCTACCTCAGTCTTTTACACAGACCCACAAACATGATCCCATACACATGCACATGAGAAGGAAAAAAGAAGAAACTGTCAATAGCATGTAACCAGGCGACAGGATAGGTTGTGAGAATGAGTAGCTGCACTGCAGCAGAGCCTAGAATTGTGCTGTTGGTATGAATCTACTAGTTATGGGGCTGTTTCATTCACATTTATTTTGTTGGTTATGAGACAGGGTCTCTCAATGTAGCTCAGGCAGAGGTCACAGCAATCCTACTTCAGCCTCCCAAGTACCAAGATTATAAGCACATACCAACATCCCCAACTTAAATTAAAAATACTAGACATGGGCCTTTAGCTGTATTTTCTCATAGTACAAATTTGTACTTGTGGGAACATGGGATGCTGAAGTGGAAGGATCACAAAAGGCCAGTTTGAATAAGAAAATCAAAATATACTTAAGTCCTTTGTAGCTGAGGAGTCCTCAGTTATATATTCAAGCAGATGAATATAAAAAATATTCAAAAAATATGCATCTGTACTAAATCAGGTCTTTTTATGTAATTTTACCTCAAGCTATATAACAACTACTTAGGAAGCAATTTTATTGTATTAATAATAATCTAGGGATATATGAGGATAAGCTACATGTCTAGGTTCAGTACTATACTATCCTGAACAACAACAGAGTTTGGTATGTCCAGAGATCCTGGAACCAATCCCCAGGATACAGAAGGATTACTCTAGTTAAGTTAAAATTGAATAAAAATAGAGCTTTTTTTCCTAAATCACACTAAACACATTTGAAAAGTTCAGCAGTCACTGGAGTAGTGACCATCACAATGGTTGAGTTAGTAGTGGCCTGGGTGTAGGAGCTGAAGAAACTGAAGCTACAGTTCAATGGACAGGAACAGGGCAAGCCAAACCTGCCAAAATTACCACGGTGGAAGAGGAAGGTCTGCAGAATGTGGCAGTAGCTCAAGTATTATCTGAACAGGCTAGCCTGGGATGTTAATCCCTTATACGACCAAGCCAAAGTCTTGTTGCACAAGCAGGAATATGTGGGGCTAGACCAAACAAAATTTGGAGACTACTGTCAGAGAGGAAGGCACACCAGAAAGACATCAAGTTGACATGCCCTCTTCCTAGTCTCTTCCTGTAGTAGTTTATCCATCCTTCCCCACCTAACAAAGATCCTGTCACTCACTGTACAGGTCCATCCACACATTTAGACATGGCACGCAAATATGAAAATAAGCAAAAACCAGCTAACCTAATTCTTTTTGCTCTTTTTGAGACACCGTGTTTCTATATAAGCTCAGGCTGGCCTAGAATTCAGAGATCTGCCTGCCTCTGACTCCCAGTGCCAGGATTAAAAATGTGCAACATTATACCCTGCTTCCATGGGTAACCCTTAGTTCTACTTGAAGCACCAGGTTCTCTGACCTCTATAGGAATAGCATGCATAATACCAGTTTTCCGCAGACTGCAGCAGAATTTGTGAGGCCAACTTGGGCTATGTATCAAGACCCTGACTATAAGTAAAGTTCCTTTAGCATTTCAGATCCTCAGAGGATAATGGTCCTGGGACACAAACCTTCGGGTGGACCGTCTTTAAACAAGGACTCTTCCAGGAAACTGGCCCGGCCAAGCATAGGTACCCTCGGAGGGAGGGATGGTTCAGCACGGAGACCCTTGGAGGACGCGCCAGCCTGGTACGGGAACTCTCAAAGGGCCGACTGCCCCGGTTCACACAAACTCAAGAACCCCTACCACACACCGTGCTCTTCAGGGCACCGTTATCAGCCACACCGCGATGAATGTAAGAAAACAGGCCAGAGCCCCACCCTCCCGTCCCCGCACCTGTCCCAGTTGGAGTCCCAGACGCCGGGCCCGGGACGCGGGGCGCCAGTCCAGGCCTGCGGCTCGGTCGCGCGCGTGTCTGCATCCCCGCCGCCTCGCGGCTTTCCCACCGCTACTGCCGAGAAGAGAACAGCAGCTGAGCCACCCGCCAGCCCGCAGGCCGCCAGCTGAAGCGCCTGCCGGAAAGCCATGCCTCAAATCGCGCGGCCAGACAGCAGGCCGCCAGGGACACGCTTCCGTACGTGCCCGCTTCCGGCTGGAGGAAGTTCCGCCCCTTTCCCAAGACTGAACAGGAAATGCGGCCTGGGGTGCCACCTGCCGGTAGTCTCAGGGTGGCAGATGCACACGCCCTTCGCTTGGTGGGTGTGAGTACCCAGGGGATCAAAATCTGGCACTGGGTTTGGGCGAACTGAAAAACCTCCAACTTGGTTCTTGCTCTAGACCTAGAGTTTTTGTGTTTTCTTTTGTAATCCTTAAGTTTATACATACTGTTTAACTAGAAGCATTCACCTCCAGAATTTATTCCATTTTTTTTCCTGAACTTTCTGTATTCAACTATCAATTCTCCATTCCACACACCTACCATCCTGCCTCCAAGTTTTACCGCCCTAATTGTTACCTATCAACTGACCAAGTCCTTCTGAGTAGAAGGAGTCCAACTATTCTTCCAGTGCTGGCAGTTTTGAACTGTTGACCCAAGGCGTAGGGACTAGACTAGCAGGCCCAGAGACTTACTTGAGTTTATGGCCTTGGGCTTTAACTATCAACAGGCCCAGAAGGTGGCTGCTATTATAATTTTCAACTTTGAGCAGTAGTGAACAGCAGCAGGCATTTGGTAATATTACTGCTTTTGAATGAACCTGTAACCTCAGAGATTCTCACGCCTTTGGCCTTTAACAGTGACTAATACTACAGCTCTTTTTCTTTGGGGAAGGGAGGGTGGAAGGAGGGGGTTGAGACAGGGTTTCTCTGTATAGGTTTCTCTGTGGGTTTCTTTGACCGTCCTGGACTCACTTTGTAGACCAGGCTGGCCTGGAACTCACAGAGACCCATCTCCCTGCCTCTGCCTCCTGAATGATGGGAGTAAAGCCCATGCCAGCAAGCCTGGATTATGTGGCTGTTCTGAGCATTAAATTTTTAAAGAAATAAATTTGCTGCTTCATTTCAAAAAATTATTAGTGCACTTCTTTAGTTTACATGTCACTGCAAAGTGGGGGCAATGGCATAATGGAGACACTAAGCAGGGAGGCATGTGTTGAATTGTGGTACCACGTAACAGTGCAGTTTTAAAGACCATTTATGTATTTGTATATAAATATTGGTAGAAACCGGGCTTGATGGCCCACACCTGTAATCTCAGCACTCAGGGAGACAGAGGCAGGCGGATCTCTGTGAGCTCAAAGCCAGCCTATTCTACAAAGCCAGTCCAGGACAGCCAAGGCTACACAGAGAAACCCTGTCTCAGAAATATAGATAGTAGATAGATAGATAGATAGATAGATAGATAGATAGATAGATAGATGGATGGATGGATGGATGGATGGATAGATAGATAGATAGATAGGTAAAAATATTGGTAGACTGGGTACACAGCTCAGTTGGTAGGGTGCTTGTTTAGCTCAAGCAAAGCCCTGGGTCCATCCTCAGTATTGCATAAATCAAGTGTAGTGGGGCAAACCTATAATCTCAACAATTAAGAAGTGGAAGTGGGAGATCACAAGTTCAAGGTCATCCTTGGAGTTCAAGACCAGCCTGGAATGCATAAGACCCTGTTTCTAAAAAAGAGGGGTGGATGGGCTGGAGAGCTGGTTAATAGCACTGGCTGCTCTTCCAGTGCACTCAAGTTTAATTCCCAGTCCCTGTGTGTGCCTCCAGTTCCAGGAGGTCCAACGCCCTCTTCTGGCCTCTAAGGGCAGTGCATACTCATGGTTCACAGACATAAATTCAAGCATACATTAATACACATAAAACAAAAATAAGTAAAATCCTTTAAAATATATTAAAGGAAATATTGGTCAAAGTATCCAGGGCTAGGTTTGAGAAAAAGGTTATTTTCTTACCTACCAAAACTATTCCCAGTTCATTTAACTACTTGTAAGTACGATGATAAGTGTCTAAGTGGAGGAAACAGTATTCTCTGACCTCCTCTATATGTGGTTGTGCCAATAAATATGTATGAAATAAGTTAAGTTATGTAGGCTGTGATGTGCCAGAAATAGGAAATCATACTGCTTTAAAGCAAAGAGGCTGGGCAGGTGAGATATGCTTGTAATCTCCAGGACTTTAGAGGAAAAGGCAGGTCATAATGGAGCATGATGGTACACTCCTTCAATCCCCAGGCTCTGGAGTCAAAAGCAGGTGGATCTCTGGGAATTCAATGCCACCCTAACCTACACAGCAAGCTCCAGGCCAGGCAGGATTATATAGTAAAAACTTTACATAAAAATTATAATTTAAATATAAAACTTTACAAAAATTTCAGGTCACTGTTAACTACATGAGTTCAAGTGCAGCCAGGTAGCCCTGTCTACCTGATATCATGTCTCAACAAACAAACAACAACAACAAAACCTGTATCTACCTCAGTGACCTCACCATACTGGCCTACCAGACATTTTGAGGCCACATGCTAAGGTGGGAAAGCATGCTGATGCTTTCAAACCCACCAATGAAAAAACAAAAATAGACCTATTAGAGACTACACCTGAACACCCGAATTAGGTTCCCCATTTGTAAAGTGCAAAGAACAATGGTACAAAATTGTTATAGGATCAAGTGATGTTAACTCATGAAGGATTCAGAAGACTACTGGCACAGAAATCCCCCAGCAAATGTTATCATGGCTGATCTCTAGAACTGATGAGGGGGAAGGGAGTTAAGTTTTTCTTTTTTTTTTTTTCTTCATTTTTTTATGTACATTGGTGTTTTGCCTGCATGTATGACTGTATGAGGGTGTCAGATCCCCTGGAACAGGAAGACACTTGTTAGTTGCCATGTGGGTGCTAGGAATTGAACTTGTGTCCTCTGAAAGAGCAGCCAGTGCTCTCAACCACTGGCTCTCCAGCCCCAGTAAAACCTTCTTGGAAACATACTCATAGACACACCCAGAGGTATATTTCCATGGTGATTCTAAATCGAATCAAGCTGATGATCAAGATTAATCAACATGCAGTTATTATGCTGGGTAGGTAGTCCTAAAAGAATAACATCAACAAATCCTATGAGGTATGTAGGCTCACATTTAAGACATTATACAGATGGTAATTATTGGCCTGGAAAGAATGAGAAGAATGGGGAGCTGGTGTTTAATAGGAACAGTTCTACTTTAAAATGAAAAACACGTAGAAATGGATGCTGGTAATGCTTGCACAGAGCCATGACTGTACTTAATGCTGCAGAACTGTACATTAAAAAATGGTGTTGTATACACTTTGGCACAATACAAAAGAATTTAAAGATATCTGGCCATGCATTTCTTTCCAAGCAACAATAACTGTTTTGAGAAATCACAACCATCACAGAAACAGCTGAATCACTGTTTATTAACCTTTATCTAGTTTACAGTGACAACGAAGATTATCTCCTCTGAGTCTGGTGCTGTCTCTCCGAAGCACAAGATTCTGACACTAACCATTTCCTCCCTCTGTAACTGTAAGGTATTTTGAATCACATAATTTAGTCAGATGATGTCCTGAATGATGAATTCTGTTCTCTCCTGCTGATGGGTGGATTCCCCCAGACCTCATCCATGGTGTATCTGACATCACTTCCCCAGAGAGGCCAGGTAGGCACACCAGAACAGAGCTGCCATGTTGGCAACGAGCACCCGGAACTGCCAAAAGATCATCAGGCCACGGTGAGTGGAAATCCTGACCACACCCTTTACACATCAGTCACCCCCGATGAAACTCATCCCTTCAGCTGTTTGATCTATCTTACCTTCCCACTATTGAAGGTCCTGAGCCTTTACTGTGTAATGAATGAGGTTAGGGCCTGGCAGAGGTAGGGGTACAAATCATGCTCTCCTAACAATGCTCTCTGTGAATGGCCTCAGCCTAGCCCACCACCGCCCCAGTATCTGAGCTAATCATCTGGACTTAACCCACATTCAGTTAATTGCTGTCTGCTAAGCAGACAACTCTGTGACAGTAACAATTTGGCTGCCTTGTTAATTATGAGTCTTTGGCACTGGAGCATGAAATAGAGCATAATGATACTTGTACAGCTTTCTTGTCCCTCAAGCATTCCTTTGCAACTATCTAAAATTAAAACCTTAAGCCTAACCTCACATCCCTACTTGAAAGCAGTTTTCTGGCCTCTTCATTCCTTGACCCACCAATCTCTCTATATCTTTCCTCTATATGCTTTAGGGTTGAAAGTCTGTCATCCTTGTCTCCTTAGCACTCTTTGAGTGTAGTTTCCAGTACTGTAAGCAAAACTATCCCAGGCCCAGCCAGACAGTGGCATGCCTTTAATTCCAGCACTTGGGAGGCAGTGGCAGGTGATCTCTTTGAGTTTGAGACCAGCCTGGTCTATAAATCAAGTCCAGGACAGTCAGGGCTTGATACACTGAGAAACCCAGTCTTGGAAAACAAGAAAACAAAAACAAAGCAAAACAAACAAACAAACAAAAAATTGTCCCAGGCCCATAACTAAGAGAGTTTTGTTTTTGCCTGGAAGCTTTCTTTACTTTTTTCCAAACACTTAACCCCCTTTTCCTGCTCAGACCCAGAGGGGAGAGGCCAAGCAGTCTTGACCATTCATGTCAGCTTTCTGTAGTCACACAGAAAGGACTCCTACAGAAACACCATTCTGCACTCATCCAGGGGAACCCCATTCTCTCCTGCTCCTAAGGTAGCCTAGAGGACATGAATGTCCATCCATCCCAGAAGCAGCCATATATGTATATAATATAGTTTTGATTTTTGGTTTTTTTAAGACATGGCTTTCCTGTGTAGCCTAGCTGTCCTGGAACTCACTTTGTAGACCAGGCTGGCAAAAAACTCACAGAGATCTGCCTGTCTCTGCCTCCCAAGTGCTGGGATTAATGGCGTGTGCCATCATACCCAGCTTCATAACATAGTTTTGTAAACATGACATTATTTCTCTGACCTCAAGACCTCTCTATCACTCCGGCTTCCTAACCATTTCATCCCATCTTCTGACTTCCCAGGAACAGTTTCTAGACTTGTGATTTGTCCTCCCTCCCTTCTTAAGCTGGCCTGAAATTCCTGGTCCTCCTGCCTCTGCCTCCAGAGTAATGAATTATGGTAACTGACTTGCCTGGCTTGAGTTGTAATTTGTCTGCTTCCTACTCACTCTTTAATCAAAACAATCTGGATTTAGCTCCTAATCCATCCCAGTATGGCTCTTAGAAGGTCTCTGACAAGGTTACTTCAAGATGGCCACCTGTTGGTTTTTTTTGGAGGGAGGTGTCGCTTTAATTTCCTACTATTTCTGCTATGGTTGACCAGCCCTTTGCTATATCCTAAATGTTTGTTGGTTTTCTCCTACTTTGTGGTCTATGTGATGTATGTATGTATATATGAATGTGGGTGGTCTCTGTGTGTGCTTGTTAAGTAATACATATAATGTGGTGGTCTGTGTGTTAGAGTGTAGTCTACATGGTATGTATGTTTATAGTACATATGCTGTATGTGTGTGGACACTGGCCAAGCTCTCTCTTCTAACCAATGGGAGTCCTATGCTGACCCTACTCTGTTCCTCCTTCAGTGGACCCTAGTCTGTGAGCTCCCTATAGGAAAGATGCTTAACAGAGCACAGAAAAGGGTTAAGTTCCTGGAACAGACTAAGTTTGCTGCCCAAGAGAAGCCTGTTTGGAAGAATGGCCCAGGTTGGCAACTTGGGTGTCAAGGTTCCCACCTTCTCTTTCTTCAGTGTGTATAGACCTAGTTCCTGGGTTTGGAACTTGGCAGAGGTATCTAGTTAATACTTAGGTACCAATTCTTGGAAGAACCCTGCTGGTTCCCTGGGCAAAACCAGAGCTAGAGCCAGAGGAAGCATGCCCTTGGAGAAGGAAAAATCTGCATCTTTGATGGCCCTTCTCCCTTAAGGTTCAGCAGGATCCTGCCACCCACTGTGTAGACTTACTGGGACTTTGAGCCCTTCCAGTTGCAGAAAGGTCTTAGGGAAACATAGGGGATGGGCCTGGCACAAGGACAGCTAGTACTTAGCAACCTGAAGCAGTACACAAGTTATAGCATCTGTAGAACACTGAACCAAAAGATACAGACCACTCTCCTTTGCTCTCCACTGCTCAAAGCCAACAAGTTCACTCATCCTTCCGCAGGCAGTTTCCACAGCGGCACCTTTGTGCCTGCCTACAAGCACTGCAATTCTCCCAGTTACCTCCCAGAGGCTTTCTCTTTGACCAGGCAGCCCCTTGAAGACCCTGCTCCAAGCCAGGGTCTTCTCTACTTACCTGCTCCACTGTACTTGTCTGTTGCCCTGTATCTGACTGCTCAGCTGCAGCCCTTCAGCCCAAGCAACCCAGATTGTTTCAGTTACTACAAAGCACTAGGATGAACAGCTGCTTGGGGTCCCTGTGAAGTTCTGCAGCTATGAATGTAAAGCTCACAGACAATGATCAGAGATGGACCAGACCTCCAAAGACAGGTGAAAACATGGCTTGAGAGTACTAACATTTGTTAGAAAAAAAAAAAAATAACAAAGACTTTCAGTGGATACAAGGCAAGCCTCACCTGCAGGGGCACATAGTTGATGTTAATGAACTGCAAGGGTGTCCACATCCTCCAGTTCATTTGCAGTGCAGGCCAGAAGCCACTCCGCATCTTGGCAACAAAGACACTGACATCTTTCCCCTGCAGGGAAGGTAAGGGTAGCTGTGAGCAGTCCCTCCATCCATAGCAACTTTAATGGGGTACCTTGACCTTGAAAACAAATTGTAAAACCAGTATTATATTTTAAAACACATCTGCACTTACTACCCTGCAGCTAAAAGGAGCCAACTATCCAGGTGGAAAATCTTCAATGACAACACCTCAGTGGCATGTTGCCTCTCACACTGGGTGGTGTCCGTCTCCATCAGCTCCTTACAGCAATCTGATGATGACTTGCGGTGTGGCCAGACTAAGGGCTCAGTTCTCAATGCTTTCACATTAACTGCCAAAGATGACTAATTTTCCAGTCAGAACTTAACAATTTTTAAGAGACAACCCCACTATATATTATCTGGAAAAATAAATGTATTGAGAGAGACCACATTGAAAAAGAATAGAAACACCTGCCTCAACACAGTTATTTTTTTTTTAAATACTGTAAAATTATGGTAATTAAAATAATCTGTAAGCAGCTGGGTGGAGTGGCCCACACCTACAGTTCCAGCACTCTGGGAGGCACAGGCAGGTGGATCTCTGTGAGTTTGAGACCAGCCTGGTCTACAAAGTGAGGCCAGGACAACTAAGGGTACACAGAGAAACCCTGTCTCAAAAAAAAAAAAAAAAAAAAAAAAAAAAAAAAAAAAAAACAAAAAAAAAAAAAAAAAAAAAAAAAAAAAAAAAAAAAAAAAAAAAAAACAAAAAAAAAAAAAAAAAAAAAAAAAAAAAAAAAAAAAAAAAAAAAACTAACAACAACAAAAAGATATCTGTAAGCAATAGTCAAAAATGAAAGTAATACAAAAACCAAAACAACATCCAATAAAAGTGAAAATCCAGAAAAAAAAAACTGAGTCTAAATAATTGCTTGTATGTATGGTAATAAGAACATGATAATTATTTTGAAACACTAAAGATTTCAGTGCATAGGAGACAATATGTGAGATAAGTGGAAAGTGGAGACAGAAGTCTACTTTCACCTGTAAACAAAAATAAAACTCAAAAGATAGAAGAGGAAAGTATAAATTATTTTTCTTAGAATCTTATCAAGATGTATCAAACAGGGGCTAGAGTACTGACAGCCAGGCCACCTGGCTTTCCCTAAGGCCCTGAAATATGGAGAAGGAACACAGTTCCATCTCTAAAACCAGGAATAAGCTCAACAGAACCGTGATGGCTTGGGGCCAGGGCCTTGGGGAGAGCTGTGGCTCTAGATCCAAGGAAACCAAATCTTAACACCTGAAGGGCGGTGGTTTTCAGTATCAAAGCTTCTATGTGCTCTGATTGTGACACTGTCCCATCCCACCCCACACCCCTGAAACCTGTATACAAGATGCTGTACTTCTTAATAAACTTACTTGCATGAACCATCAGTTCATGAAGGACTTCCTGGTCCCAATGTTCCTATATTTCGAATCCCCATTTCTCCCCCTTGGGACCCTGTTTCTGAAGAACAACCTTCTGGTCCAGGTCCCTGAAGAGATGGCCCAGCAGTTAAGAGCACTGGCTCTCAGCCATGTTCTTAGCAGCTTTATTTGTAATTGCCAGAATCTGGAAACAACCCAGATGTCCCTCAGTTGAGGAATGGATACAGAAATTGTGGTACATTTACACAATGGAATACTACTCAGCAATTAAAAACAAGGAAATCATGAAATTTGCAGGCAAGTGTTGGGAACTAGAAAAGATCATCCTGAGTGAGGTATCCCAGAGGCAGAAAGACACACATGGTATATACTCACTTATAAGTAGATATTAGACATATAATATAAGATAAACATACCAAAATCTGTACACCTAAAGAAGCTAAGCAAGAAGGAGGACCCTGGGTAAGAAGCTTAATCCTCATTCAGAAAGACAAACGGGATAGACATCAGAAGTGGGAGAAAAGAGGGGACAGGACAGGAGCCTACCACGGAAAGAGTCTACTCAGCAGGGTATCGAAGCAGATGCTGAGACTCGTAACCAAATTTTGAGCAGAGTGCAGGGAATCTTATGAAAGAAGACAGAGATAGAAAGAACTGGAGGGGACAGAAGTTCCACAAAGAGACCAACAGAGCCAAAAAAATCTGGGCCCAGGAGTCTTTTCTGAGACTGATACTCCAACCAAGGACCATTCATGGAGATAACCTAGAACCCCTGCACAGATGTAGCCCATGGCAACTCAGTCTCCAAGTGGGTTCCCTAATAAGGGGCACAGGGGCTGTCTCTGACATGAACTCAGTGACTAGCTCTTCGACCACCTCCCCCTAAGAGGGGAACAGCCTTACCAGGCCACAGAGGAAGACAATGCAGTTAGTCCTGATGAGATCTAATACGCTAGGGTCAGATGGAAGAGGAAGAGGACCTCTCCTATCAGTGACTGTGGGAGGGGCATGGGAGGAAAAGAAGGAGGGAAGGCGGGCTTAGAAGGGGACCAAGGAGGGGGCTACAGTTGGGATACAAAGTGAATATATTGTAATAAATAAATAATTAATAAATAAATAAATAGCACTAGCTCTTTCTCAGAGAACCCCAGTTTGATTCCCAGTACCCGTATGGAGGCTCACAGCTGTCTATAACTCCAGTTCCAGAGGATCCAATGCCTTCTTCTGGCTTTCATGGGCACCAAGCAAATCTGTGCTACACAGACATACATGCAGGCAAAACACCAATACACATCAAATACGAACAAAAACTCAAAGACCGAAAAAGAAAAAAGATGTACCACACAATCACTAGAAAGCTTATGTTTATATTATCTTTCTATCAGAAAATGCAAAAGGAAAAGAGTATGAGAGTTGAATATAAAGTTTTAAAACTTTATATTTAAACATACACAGGAAACACACACAGATATGCACAGGCATGTGTGTGTGGGTGTGTGCATACACGTGCACACACACTCAAGTTTTATTTATACAAGTTTACATGCTACCTTTATATGGATATTTATGGAACTTTATGTGAAAGTTTGAAACACCTAAAAAAATAGGAAACTTATTTGCTACTTTTATTTGTGTAAAAGGACTATTATTCTTAATATATCCAAATACACAAGTCAGTGTAAGAAAAAAATGGCACGATGGTACACATCTGTAATCTCAGTACTTGGGAGGTAGAGGCAGGACGATTGGGAGTTTAAGGTCATCCTTGGCTACATACCAAGTTCAAGGCCAGTCTGGGCTACATGAAACCCTGTCTCAAAAAATACCCTTTCCACAAAAAAAAAAAAAAGAAAGAAAAGAAAAAGAAAAACACTGATATAAAAGAAGCAAAGTTCATGGGATACACAGCATTTGACATATAGTGTCTGACTTATAAATAATGGTATACAAATTAAAATACTTTTCACCTGGTACTAACAAACTCCTTGTGAAGGGTTTTGCAACATGACACAACCTTAAGGTTTTTGTAGCACAGATCTTTTCTATAATTAATTAATTAATTTATTTTTAAAAGATTTATTATGAATACATTGTTCTGCCTGAATATACACCTTCATGCCAGAAGAGGGCACCAGATCTCACTACAGATGGTTGTGAGCCACCATGTGGTTTCTGGGAATTGAACTCAGGACCTTTGGAAAAGCAATCGTTGTTCTTAACCTCTGAGCTATCTCTCCAACTCCTATTTTTTTTTATTTTTTTTATTAATTACAGTTTATTCACTTTGTATCCCAGCACAGATCTCGTTGGCAAAGCCTATAATCATTCCTTCTCAGAATAATGTTAGTTCACGTTTTATATTTTTATTGATTTAGGTTCTGGAGACAGGATCTCACCTTACAGTCCAGGATTACTTGAACTTGTAGCAATCCTCCTTTCTCAGCCTCTCGAGTATGGCAGTCACAGGCATAAGCCACCAAACTTGGCTTAGAATCATTTTGGTATATAAAACACACAAGTGAAAAAACTATACTAAAAGTTATCAAAATATTTAGAAACCAACTCTATGTTAGAGTAGTATATGCCTCTTCAACAGCAGAACTGGTGCTAAGACCAAAGGACAGTTCCACAATAAAATCAACAACTGCCACATGGATTATGAGGCTTATGACCTCTACTGGGGACAAACAGGCAATTTTAACACTCCTGTGGTCTGTTTCCTAGTTTCACAAGGAAAAACGAAAACCATGAAAATAGACAATTGAGGGCTTGCAAGATGTTTCAGCAGGTAATGGTAGTTGCTGTTAAACCTGATGACCTGAGTTCAATCCCTGAGACCACGTAGTAGAAGGAAAAAACCAACTCCTATGGGCAACTCTGATCTCTACACACATTCTGCCATACACGCTTGCAGATACATATACACACAGAACCATGGAAACACTATTTACTGGACGTGACAGCATTACTGTACACATGAATTCAAAGCAACTTTGACTATAAGTCCCAAACCAGATCAAGCCAGAAAATCCCTGTATAGATAGGGGACATGTTCATACAGCTCTCCCTTAGAAGAAATACAGGAAATTAATGACTTCTGGGAAGCAAAGTCAGTTTTTTTCAGAGGTGCAGCCCTGACAGGCCTATGCCCTTGCACATACAGACAGCAGCACTAAGTGAACTCAGGGTTAAAAAAAGAACACATGAAGTTGGAAAAGAAAAGTGGGGATAGGGGAGGGGCAGACACATTAGATGCATGTATGAGATTCGAAAGAAAGGAAGGAGGGAGGGAGAAAGAGGAAGGGAGAGAATGAAAGTTGAGAGCAGTAAAAGTTCAGACCTCGAGGCCCACCCTAGGAAGCAAGGCGGCCAATGCACTTTTAACTAGAGACCCAGCAAGCTCCAGGACAAACACCCACCTCCAGAAAGTTCATGATGAGGAAGAACAGCAGCAGAAAGGCTGGGGCAAAGAGCAGGCGGTCCAGCAGGAGCCTCTTGACTCTGGCCCAGGGGACCTCAGGAGGGACCCAGGATTCCATGCAGAGGTAAAGGTAGTGACTCAATGGACCTGTGACGAAGAACCTGGAGTACCACAGAGCTGTGAGTTGCACTGTGGTTCTTCCTACACCTCACACCAACACTCACCTCAGATCCTACACCCTCTTCTCTTCCCCGGAAGTACTTACTGACCACACAAATTTGTTTTTGTTTTTCGAGATAGGGTTTCTCTGTGTAGCCTTGGCTGTCCTGGAATTTGCTCCGTAGACCAGGCTGGCCAGATCAACTTCCTCTACCTCTGCCAGGATCAAAGGTGTGTACCACCACCACCCAGCTTACCACACAAATTTGTATAGATCTAGAAATTTTTTTTTCAGGCACTCATTTTGTCTGAAAACACTTAAGTCACTTCTGCCAGTTCTTTTATTCGGTCACCTGGGACAGCCATAATGATGGCCCTGGCTAAGGTATATGCCTATCTGAACTCCTCTGTGTTCCACGCCCGCCGTTAAGCTATCTGTCCACATCTGTGCCCTCGTGCCTTACCAGGCTCTGATAAACAAACAGGCATACCTCAGCTCCAAGAGATTTTCATTAGGCTCTTGGGGAAAACTGGCCAGAGAAAACCTGGGACTACCCTCTGACTTTTCTAAACTCCTGATCTCTAGTCCAGACTTGGATCACTCCCAGGTGAACCAAGTCCAGCAGAACTGAGTTTCATAAAGCACAGTAATACAGGGAGGATCAGGAAGCAGGGTCTTTCAGTTCCAACAACCAAAGTCTGTAAGCAGGGTTTTCAATTGGACTTTTCCCGTGCCACTGTGGCAACAGGGCAAACCGAAGTCTTTGGGAGGCCAAAACCATTTGAGAGGGGTTAGGGTACCTTAGTTGATCTTGTTACTTGTCAAAGTAAGGGGTACATGGCTTTATAAACATTTTATTGAATGACCCAAATTATTATTCTTGGAAGCTTTTGTGAAGTTAGGACTGAATCTAAGTTGGTAGAGTACTTTCCAAGCATGCAAAAAACCCTAGGTTTGATTCCTAACACACTAAAAACAAAAACAGATGTGTGGTGCATACCTATAATCCCAGCACTCAGGAGGCAGAGGCAATCAGGTCAGAGTTCAAGGATATATAAGGCAGTCTCAGTTTTTCTCTTTCATTTACACACACACACACACACACACACACACACACACACACACACACACACGAGGAAGTCTTTTGTTTTGGCTTGAGACAGGGTCTCACTATGTAGCCCTGGCTGTCCTGGAACTCACTATGTAGACCAGGCTGGCCTCAAACAGAGATCCATCTGCCTCTACCTCCTGAATGCTGGGATTAAAGACATGTGCCACTACACCTGGCTCTCTGATGCTTCTTTTTTTTTTTTTTTTAATTTTAAGATTTATTTATTTACTATTTATATGGCATTCTGCCTGAACACCAGAGGAGGGCACCAGATCTCACTGTAGATGTTTGTGAGCTGCCCTGTGGTTGCTGGGAATTGAACTCAGGACCTTTGGAAGAATAACCAGTGTTCTTTACCTCTGAGCCATCTCTCCAGCCCTCTCTGATGCTTCTTAAAGAATTTTTGTTTTTGTTTTTTCATTTTTTTTAAAATTTATTTTCTGTTCTTTGTGCATGGATGTTTTGCTTGCAGGTATGCCTGTACACCATGCATGTATCCGGAGCTTTATGAGGTCAGAAGAGATCTTCAGATCTCCTGGAAATGGAGTTACAGATAGTTGTGAACTGATATATGGGAGCTGAGAATCAAACCTGGGCTTCTCTATAAAAGCAGTCAGTGTTCTTAACAGCTGAGCCAGCCATCTCTCCAGCCTCAGAATTGGGTTTTCAAACCAAAGTATTCCAAAGTCTTAATGCTAGTAGTCAGCTGTGCTGAACCTGGTCTGCAGAGGGGAGGCAGCTCTCTGTGGCACTTACCCATACACTAAATATCTGAGAAGCCCACTGACATCTAGACTTCGAGAGTCTTTTTTCTGCTTCTTCTCAATCGTCTGGGCCAGAAGGTTTCCAAGGGCTGACAAAATGCCACTGTGGAAGAAGAGGCAATCAGAAAATGAGCAACAGACACAAGGGCATGCCTTGCCTGCACGGCAATAGCAGGGCTGCTGTGAGATCTTGCTGTGGAGATGGAGGGGTGAGTCCTTATTAAAGCAGCTTGCTTAGGTAAAGCTCTTGAAGACAGAGACACTATGACCTAAAGCCAAAACCACCAGGGAGCACAATGAGAGTTCAAACTGCTGGGCTGCATGCCTTCCGACATCCCCTTAGCTGCTCCAGTGAAGGCCCGGGTGCCAAAGGCAATAGCAGGAATCTTCATGAGGACACTCAGAAGTTGACCGTGGTCTGTGATCTATATTCATGCTGATACTTGTATGTGATATTATACTGTAGTTTAAAAAAAAAAAAAACATTTGAAATGGAGCAGAAGTCACCAGGATTTTTCTTTATTTTTGTTTTGTTTTGTTGGGGGGGGTTGGGAGAGGCTTCAAAAAAAAAAGTCAGAAAACTTGCTAGACAGGTTGTAAAAGAGCTGTAACACACTTCTATAGTATTTGTGTGTAAATTTACACTCCTGAAGTAAAATTCCCAGAAAGAAGACAGGGCCAGTTGCTTCTTAAGAAGGTTGGGTCTTGTCTTAGTATCTTTTTATGAAACTGAAGAGAACAAAGGTTTATCTCAGCTCACAGCGAAAGGTTACAGACCATCACTGCGGGGCAGTCAAGGCAACAGGAAGTTGAAGCATCTGGTCACAGCACAGCCACAGTCAAGCAAAGAGAAGTGTATGTTGCTCAGCTAGCTCCTTCTCCACTTACAGTCAAAGATCCCAACCAGGAACGGTTCCACCCAAATGGGCAGATCTTCCCAGCTCAATTAAGGTAATCAAGATAGTCCCCTACAGGCATGCTTAAAGGTCCATCTCCCTGGCAATTCTAAATTCTATCAAGTTGACAACTAAGCATTAACCACGACAGGTCTATAAACTGTCTTCTAAAAACTATAAAATCCCAACATTTTAATATGGATCTTAAGGACGCTCTTAACCGGACCTTTGGTCACCTCTTCCCATCTACTCTCTCTTTTCTCCACCCACACAGTCCTCTTCACCCCTCCAACATGCCCTGCATTCCTCCCTCAGAACTTTTGTACTTACTGTGCCCTGTGAACTATTGCTTCTCTTCTCTGTGGTTTTGATCAAAGTCAACAACACAGGGAGAAGTTTCCCTAAATGCTCTGGGTTACATATTTACCTGCCTTTTTTGTTTGTATGCTTGTTTGTTTATGTTGTTCTTCTCAGCTCCGTGAGAGAAAAGGCTATGCCCCTAATTTGACCACAGCGATATGCCCAGCACACGGGAAGCACTCTGTTCATACTTACATAAGGCTAATAGAGAGCAAGCCCACAAAATTCGCTAATAAAAATTCACAGAAACAGGGATATGTCATTAAGAAATAGAACGATGTAGATCAAAAGGCAGAGCTCACCAGCAACAGTGATAATCACTCAGAGTTGAAATGTGTCCCTGATCTCCACAGCTTTCAGACTGCAAGGGCTAATGCTTGAGACCCAATACACAAACATTTACTGCCTAAGCAGAACTGGGCACACCTTAATGCAGGAATCTGCCTTTGGCACCCACATTCCTCCACAGCAGTGGTTCACAGCCTTCTTAATGCTGTGACCCTTTAATACAGTTTCTAATGTTGTGATGACCCCAACCATAAAATTATTTTCTTTGCTACTTCTAAACTCTAATTTTGCTATTGTTATGAATCGCAATGTAAATGTCTGATGGGATATCCAGGATATCTGATATGCGATCTAGGGTTCCCGACCTAGGTAGAGCACCGCTGTTGCACCCACCTGCTGACTGCTTTGGTGAGCACGGGGTAGAGTTTTAGGAACAGCAAGTATTGGACAAGCGCTCGCTTCGGAAGCGACCCAAGCTCGGATTCCGCCCGCAGCCTTGACGCGGCAGGTGCCATCGCGGTCCCAGCTCTGAGTCGCCCCGGGCGCCCACCCAACAGCTAGCTGGTCGGACACCTGGCCCAAGACGCCGGGCACAGGGCCAGGGCAACCTGACATTTCCTGCCCTACCACAGTCTTCAGCCCGCCGGGCCAGGCCGCCGTGCGCTCTCCCAGAAGCCACAGCATTTGCTCCCGGTCCCTGAGACCCACCCTCCGCGCTCTGCACAGGATTGGAGAGCCGAGGGGCGGGGCGGGGCGGGGCCTGTGCCAAGTCCGCCTGCCGCCTGGGCGCCACGCCTTCTCATTGGCCGGAGCTCTGGTCTCGCGAGAGTAGGTGAGAGCGCGCCAAATTCTCTCCGGAGCCTGAAGAAACTTGGGAACGGAGCGCGATGGTCCTCAGGAACAGTGGACGGAGGCAAGCCGAGCCGGGCGCGGATGGCGAAGGCAGCCGGTGAGAGCCGATGTCCTGCTGAGAAGGCGCCGGCGGTAGCTGCGACCGGAGCAAGCTTGGGCGGGAGGAGTAGAGCGGCAGGCCCGGCGCGCGGTGCGGTGGATAGGGCGGGCTTCCATCTTCACCTTGAGTATTTCTGAACTTGTATCGAGATGCTAACTCACTCCGTACTCCAGTCTGCTTCTCTAGACACATTTATGCCTGTTGTGTGACTTTACTAGAGGAGAATGTCTATTCTCATCAAACAAGAAGGGAACCGGCGAACCTAAGAAAGATTCTGTCTAGTCCAGCTTGGCGAAGTAAATCAATTTATTGGGCTTAAAGAAGCATCGTGGGCACTTGCACCGCCAAAAGCCCCAACTCTTATGCATCAGCTACGGATATTAGAGTATAGTGACTAAAGAGGCTGATGTGTATATTCATATATTGAGATTAATAACACTGCCTAGTGGCAGAAACAGTTGGATGTGTTGTAAGAGAAATATATCAGAGTGCGAGCACTAACTGAGCGGAAGCCCTTTCAGAACTGAGTAGTGACAGTGTTTCCCTTTCATATGTGAAGCCCTGGGTTTGCTGTACAACACCTGCATAGCAGTTCTTCAGTGACAGGTTCCTGAGAGAGTGATGACCAGGGAACGAGAAGATAGAGAAGAAAGTGCAGGATCAGGAGATCTCATACAGGCTGATGGCTCATGCAAGCAGGTTTATTAAGAAGTACAACATCTTTTAAAATTTTTATTTTATGTGCATAAGTATTTGCTTGTAGGTAAGACTCTGTATCACCCGTGTGCCTGGTGCCATGGAGGCCAAAAAAAAAAAAAAAAAAAAAAATGGCATCAGATTTCCTGGAACTTTAATTACAGATGATTTTGAGCTACTGTGTAAGTGCTGAGGATCAAACCTGGGTCCACTGAAAGACCAATGGTCTTAACCACTGAGCTATTTCTTCAAGCTGTAAAAGGAACTTTTATTTGCCTTTTTCAGTTGGTGTCTGGGAGGCTTACTGCCTCCTGTTAACCTAGGCCTAGTCCTAGAAGCTTCTAGCCTCTGTACAATCTAACCTTGGCCTAGAACATTTTCAGCCTCTGAGACTTATTTATTTTTTTAATTTTTTATTTAACTTTTATTAATTATACTTTATTCATTTTGTATCCCCCCCCATAAGCCCTTCCCTCCTCCCCTCCTGGTCCCACCCTCCCCTGAGACTTATTTATTTTAATTTATTTTTATTTTATGTGCATTAGCACTTAGCGCAGTCCTTTACAAGATCCCTTGGAATTGGGATTACAGACATTTGTGAGCTGCCATGTGGGTGCTAAGAATTGAACCCGGGTCCGTTGGAAGAGCAGATCATGCTCTTAGTCACTGAGCCATCTCTCCAGTCCTGAGTCAGTGTGTGTGTGTGTGTGTGTGTGTGTGTGTGTGTGTGTGTGTGTGTAAGTAAGTAAGTAATTTATTTTATTTTATGTGCATCAGCATGAAGATGTCAGATACCTTGGAAATGGAGATAGTTGTGAGCTGCCATGTGGGTGCTGGGACTTGAACCCCGGTCCTTTGGAAAAGCAGACAGTGCTCTTAACCACTGAGCCTTCTCTCCAGCCCAAAACTTACTTCTTAGTAAGATCACCCTTTGTTGTTCTTTCTGATTCTGGGATGGCTAGTTCAACTTAGCTTTTCTGGCTCAAACTCCTCTTCCAGCGTGGCCTCAAACTAACTCCAACAATCTTTTCTAATCTCCTGGCTCCTTCTCATTCTCTGGCTTGTTCCATCTTCACCTGTGTTCTTTCTCGGCAACCTGTCTCTCTACTCTGTCCTAGTAAAAGTGCCTCTTCTCTCTGTCTCTCTCTCTCTCTCTCATTATCCCCTAAGCAGCTTCCCTTTCCTCTCTCTTCTCTTGAGTTGGGTGTATCCTGTTCTGTCAAGTCTTTCTATGATTCATCACTGTTTCTGCCACTCAATGAGACATCACTTTCAAACATGGGTGCTTCCTTCTAAAACTAACTTTATCTTCATTTTTTGGGATTAAAGGCATGTGCCACCACGGTGGGACCTAAGCTTTTCTTGACCTGAAACTTGCTCTATGCCAGGCTGGCTTTGAACTCAGATTTGCTTGCCTGTCTCCTAGATCATACAGAACCTCACATATGACAAACACATACTCTACCACTAAGCCATATAACCAACCAAGCACATGCCCTTATTCATTCAACTTTGCCATGTATTTGATGTATCCCTAGAGCAGGTTGGAAAGCTGTTGTTGCAATAAATGAACAAATAATAATAATAGCTTTTAGAAACTTTATTAATCTTTAAGAATTTGGTTCTATTTGCACACCCACCCTACTCTTCTCCTCAATTCTTGCCAGATATACCCCTCTGCAGCTTGGCAATCTTGTTCTTTTTTTTTTTTTCATTCTTTTAAAATAACTTGTATTCCTAGATGTGGGGACAAGTAATAGCTTTTAGCTTATACTTGTGCTACATGCCCTGTGCTACATGGCATGTACATATACCTGTGCTACATGCTCACTTAATCGGTGCATCAGTCCTGTGAGGTAAGCATGTCTCCTTGAGGCTGTCAGTAGTGGTAAAGAGTATGAGCTCTAGACGTAACTGTGTCCTTTTTCACTGAATGAGGAAGTGGATGGTCCTCATGATGGGTGCTGCCATGAAAGTGAACTGAGAATGCATGCTCAGCGTGCTTTGACACTGAGGTAGTATGTAAGCAGTTGTCTTGGTTTTTAGGTTTCTGTACTATGGCGGAGTAAACAGTAAGGTACGCAGCTTAGAGGAGCCCATACTACGAGGAGATGGGGTCTGAGTAAACAGTTTTCTAGTTTACTTTACAAACTCACTCACTGGAGTGACTTGGGGAGGGTTCTGTGCTTCAAAACTAGTCATACCTCAAAAGTAACCCTTCATTCAGCCCTGGTTTTGAAAAAGATCTGGGTGCAGACCAAAGCTGTTTTTCTCTGGCAAAGCCAGCTTGTGTTTTTAATTAGAGGTAAACCCAAGCAACATGTGCTAGTGCGCCCCTGTAATTCCAGTGCTTTGGAGGCCAGGGCACGAAGATCAAGGCCAGTCTGAGACTCTCAGAAAGAAGCAAGGAGCGCCAGGGGTGGTGCTCCACACCTGTAAACTCACCACTTGGGAAGGGAGTTTTTATTTCTCTGGCATAAAGCTCAGCAGCGCAATTTTGGGCTTTTTGCAGTTTTGGTAACCCAAGAAGCAGTAGCATCCTGACATTACTGGTGTTTTTGTTAGTGTTCTGGTGATAAAATCAATAGGTTGGGGTTGGGGGTTGCCTTTGTTGTGTTTTTCCTAGAAATGCTATTTCTTTTTCATTGAGCCCTCTGTCAGTCTTGATGTTTTTTTTCAGGAATGCACATGCCATGCCACATCAGAAACACGTAGACACCAAGTGTGGTGGCACACACCATTAATCCCAGCATTTGGGAAACAGGCAGATAGATTGCTGTGATTTGGAGGCCAGCCTAGTCCACATAGTGAGACCCTGTCTCAAAAACAAAACTAAATAAAAGAACAAAAGCACATAGATGAAAGTTAAGGTTCTGAGTGGTAAAACCTGGTTGTCTTCTTTTACTTAGGGATGATGGTCCCTCTTCCTCAGTCTCAGCACTCAAGCGTCTGGAACGGAGCCAGTGGACAGATAAGATGGATTTACGGTTTGGTTTTGAGAGGCTGAAAGAGCCTGGAGAAAGGACTGGCTGGCTCATCAACATGCACCCTGTATGTACCTGAATACTGCTCAGCCTTTGCTTCTAAGGGATGACTGCACCTCTCCCTGTAAACATCAACCTTTGTCTAATGGATGCGTGATAGGGAGAAGGAAGCCATTGTCTGAAAAATCTGGTTATTGGAGGCGCTTTGCCTCTCCTGATTAACATGGAGGTCACAAATTGGCCACCATGGTAAGACCAAGATAAATCTGTCAGCTCTCAGCAGAATGCTTTCAAGAATTATTGAAGAAAATGCAGAAAAATCCCCACTGGGGAACTGTGTATAATGTAGTTCTTTTGGTTTGTTTTGTTTTGGTTTTTCGAGACAGGGTTTCTCTGTACTATGGCTCCTGGACTCACTTTGTATACCAGGTTGGCCTTGAACTCACAGAGATCCGCCTGCTTCCCAAGTGCTGGGATTACAGGTGTAGCCCACCAAGCCTGGCTAAACTTTTAATTTGTTTTGTAATGTACATTGGTGTTCTACGGGCATGTATGTCTATGTGAGAGTGTCAGGTTCCCTAGAATTGGAATTATAGACAGTCGTGAACTGCCATGTGGGTGTTGGGAATTGAACACAGGTCATTTAGAAGAGCAGCCAGTGCTCGTAAACACTCAGCCATCTCTCTAGCCCTGTAAAGCAGTTCTTAGGAAGGAGGCTGGTGGTGTTTGTATAGGGGCAAAATAAAGGGCTAGGTATAAGGATTCTGTCTTTACAGTACTCAGTTCTAAAAGATTAGCTTGGAAAGAGCTGTTAGGCCAGGCAGAGGATAATATGCTCATATCCAGTGGTTTTTCCACAGACTGAAATTTTAGATGAAGACAAACGATTAGTCAGTGCAGTGGATTACTACTTCATTCAAGAGGACGGAAGCAGATTTAAGGTAAGCCTCTG